TCCTGGGCCCACTCATCACGCCTGTCTGGCCACGCAGGGTTCTCTCGAACTCTGAAGTTGCTCCAACGAGCACTCTGGTGGCCATGCATGGCAAGGGATGTTAAGGAATACACTAGCGTCTGTGACATCTGCGCCTGCTCCAAGACACCCAGCCAGGCCCCTGTTGGTGACCTCAGACCTCTTCCGGTGCCCAGCCGTCCCTGGTCCCACGTGGGCCTGGATTTCGTCACAGGACTCCCCCCGGTCAACAACCTCAACACTGTCCTCACGGTCACGGACCGGTTTTCTAAGGCTGTCCACTTCATCGCCCTTCCGGGTCTCCCTTCGGCCCGACGCACGGCGGAACTGTTCCTGGAGAACGTGGTGCACCTCCACGGTTTCCCTGTCGATGTGGTCTCCGACCGGGGTCCCCAGTTTACGGCCCGATTCTGGAAAGCTTTTAGCCACCTAATGGGAGCATCGGTCAGCCTATCCTCAGGCTATCACCCGCAGACCAATGGTCAGATGGAGCGGGTTAACCAACAGCTGGGTCGGTACCTCCGGTGCTTTGTCTCGGCCCAACCCTCGCAATGGCCTAAATACCTCCTCTGGGCAGAGTTGTCCCACAATCTTCACACCTCCTCAACCACTCATATGTTCCCTTTCGAGGTCTGCTATGGCTACCAGCCCCCAGTCTTCGCCCACCAGGAGCCCGAAGTTGCTGTACCTGCTGCGGAATCCCTAGTGAGGCGCTGCAAGAACGCCTGGATCAAAGCACGAGCTTCCATCACCCGAGCTAACGCCCGTTACGCTCGCCAACATCTCTGCCGACACCGTCCTGGTCCCTCCTATGTCCCTGGGGATAAGGTCTGGGTGTCCACCGCGGACCTCCACTTCTGTGCCGGATCCAAGAAGCTCACTCCCTGGTTCCTCGGGCTTTACACTATACATAAGGTCATCAACCCCGTCTCGTACTGGCTGCGGTTGCCGGCGAGTCTCCGCATTCATCCCACCTTCCACACCTCCCTGCTCAAGCCCTATGTGGAATCCTCCCTGCTTCCGCCTCCGGCTCCGGCGCCTCCGCCTGCCCGCTTCTTCGATGGTGAGCCCATCTACACCGTCCAATGCGTCCTGGACGCCCATCGCAGAGGTCGGGATGGCAATACCTCGTGGACTGGGCGGACTACTGCCCCGAGGAACGCTCCTGAGAACCGGCCCGCTCCATCCTGGACCATACCCTTATCTCTGACTTCTGGGACCGCCGAGGCCGCCATGGGACTTCAGGAGCCGTCCCTGGACCGGGGGGGGGGGGGGGGGGGGGGGGTCCTGTCTGAACCCAAGTCCCCAAACCAGCCTCTCCCAACTAGCCCATTTCCACCATGGTCCACAACTCCCAGCATGCCCCTTGCGGGGATTCCCTCCACGTCACACCTACGTCACTAACCGCGACTATATATGGAAGTCGCCTCCCCAGCTCACCACTCAGTCATCGTTTCTTCAGATCCATGATCAGAGTTTCCAATCAACCGATCCATCTTACGAACTATCTGCTCACAGTAAGTGTTCTTACTTCTGGAAAACCCAGCATTTCCGTGTCACTTCATTGACGCTCGAACGCTCTGGGATTCCTAGATTAAATCGTGAGCCGGCGTTTCACTGACGCTATCACTTCCGCGTCTGTGAAACCACGCTCTCTACAAGCTCAACTCCCGTATCCAGCTGACCAGTCTGACAATTTTCATGAAACACAATCCAATTATTCAACCACTGAACTTGATGGGAGCCCCATTGATCATAAGTCAATTAGCAGATGATACTACACTATTTTTAAAGAACACGTCACAGGTTCCCCTCGCACTAAATGAAATTTCACTATTTTCAAAGGCCTCTGGTTTGTACCTGAATATCAGAAAAGGTGAATTACTAAATATTCATGATTGTGAACCCAGTATCTCTCTTAACATAGCTATTAAATTTGAAATTAAATACTTGGGTATTATAATCTCAAAGAATACAAATAATAGAGAAAATCTAAATTTGGAGCATATTACCCAGAAATCTAAAATGATCCCAATCAGCTGCTTACAAAGAGACCTCTCCATCTTTGGACGTGTCTTACTTACCAAAACAGAAGGTATCTCTCGACTGATTTATCCATCACAATGCTTATATGTTCCAATAGACTAATCAATAATATAAATCAAATTAACTTTAATTACATTTGGAGAAACAAGCAACATTATATTAGGAAGAATGATGTAGTGAAATCATTTGAAGAAGGAGGTTTGAATGCGATTGATTTTGAAGCAATGGATGGTTCCATCAAACTCAAATGGTTGCAGTCTTTCATAAGTAACTCACACAGTATTTGGTATTATTTCCCTAAAATAATTTTCAAGAAGCTTGGTGGCATTGAATTTCTCTTAAAGTGTGACTTTGAAATTTCCAAATTACCCATTAAATTATCTAATTTTAATAAACAGGTTCTTCAGTACTGGAAAATTATTTACAAGCATAATTTTTTTTCACATACAAATTCAATTTGGAACAACAGATTTATATTGATAAAAAGAAAATAAATTTTTTATAAGGATTGGATGGATCATGGAATTTGGACAGTTTTACACCTGTTAGACAATGATGGCAACGCATTATGGTATAATAAATTCATAGATAATTATGGCGTATCATGTACTCAAAGTAAATTCACTAAAGTTGTGAAAGCCATTCCCCCTGCAATGATTCAGATGGCTAAACCCAGTTTAACCTGTTCTTCCTCTATAATTCGTAAACCGTCCTTAATTATTGATGATCGTCAATTTAAAAGAAAGTCATGCAATAATACATTTTTAAGGACAACCAAACAACTTTTTCCTTCTCAATTAAAAAGAAAATATTTGTTTAAAGATTATAATTTTAGGTTCTTGATTAAATATCTCTCTTTTCCAATTCCACCAAAAGCAAAAGAAAATCACTTTAAAATTTTAAATGCCATATACCCGTCCATGGGCCATCTTCATAAGAAATTCAATATAGATACGAACACATGCACTTTTTGCAACACTGATATTGAGACTACAGAGCATCTTTTTTATTCATGTGACAGTTCCAGATTCTTTTGGAATGATTTTCAGTGCTGGTTAACCTCTAAAAATATTGACTGCCCTTCTCTAAACTTTCAAGTAATTAGATTTGGCCTACAAACAGAAAATAAGAAAATAGAATTTGGGATTAACAACTTATTTATAGTTTCAAAATTTTTCATTCATAAATGTCGCTTCTCAAAAATTACTCCGATTTTTGATTACTTTAAAAATGAAGTCCTTCTATTGAAGGCTTAATTAGATAAGTGTAAATTAAATAAAGCTCACATCTTACTTGAATTTTTGATGCTGCTTTTCAACTGATGTAGCTAGACCAGTGGTTCCCAAATTTATTTAGCCGCGCACCCCCTTCTATGTCCCGACCATGTCGACGCACCCCCCCCCCCCCACCCCACCCCCAGCCCCCACATCAGGGCATGGCTATTAATATATATATACATCAGACGTCTAGCTAAACAGACAAGGTTACAAAAATATGATCGACCTTTTTCCCCATCACTTTAATGTTTTTAAATATTAATTAATAAACATTCGATACCATTATAATTTCCTTTGATTTAATTTTAAATAAATATTTAGAGTGCCCAGGTAGCACATAAACAATGCAATTTTCTTAAAGTAGGAACGTTTAACCTGTGCGGCCAGAGCGCTCTCCTTCCTTCTGCTCTGCGTAAACCTGAGCTGATCACCTACTTGTGCGTAATCAAATGTCAATAGGGGAGAAGATAGAAAAGATATTTTGCCTCAGACCGACTTATTGCTGTTTTATGGTGTGGCTGAATCTGCGATCCGCTGCCACGCGGACTGGAATAACAAATGCTGCAGTAACGTAGTCAGGTTCGGAGTCACTGGCTGGAGCGGACCCGACTTTCATACGGCATCCCAAAATAGAAGCTAATATCTTAATTTGACCTTGAATGAAAAATGTTATAAAATCTCTTAAAAGTTTTTTTATCACAGAGGAGGCAGCGCTCATCTCTGTCTTCAGTCTGACGGCACGCCAGAGTTTGCGCAGCGTGCGCACTTATTGAATCTGTGTGTGTGTGTATGTGTGTGTGTGTGTGTGTGTGTGTGTGTGTGTGTGTGTGTGTGTGTGTGTGTGTGTGTGTGCATGCGCGGCACAGCTCCATGAAGCTTGGTTTATGCTTGACGCATTCACTTTCCGCTTGGTGATGCGGCTCGCGGATGGAACGCGCTTCACAACTTGCAGCGTTTAAGTCATCGCGTCTCGTTATCGGCGCTATTTAAACCAATGTTGTAAAATGACTTCTGCCCAGCCCAGATGTGCTCACTTGTGCACCCGTGAGCCGTGGTTCCGCTGGAACGCGTCTGACCTCTGACAGACGCACTCTGAACTTCAGATCTTCAGCGCGCTGTTAATAGCCTGAATCATTTCTTGATTTATTTTATTACATCCACAATGTTCTGTGTGTGAGGTTTACAATGTCAGAACACCTGCATGAGACAGGTGTTATTTACAATCTGCCAGAATTACTCACCACCTTCAGATTTCTCCAACATCGTTAAAAATGATCAAATACGGAACATATCGGCGTGCGCAGGCCAGAGCGCTGAAGCTCGGCGCATTGTTATTATGAAGCTAGGGCGCATGCGGAGGACACACACAAGCAAAAATATACCTGTTTTCAATTACATTTATTGGGCCCACTTACTTTTTCTTAGGCCCACCCACAAATGAGTTTCTGGCTACGCTAATGGTGACATCTGACAGACTTCTCTGAGCTCCGCAGCCATTACACTTTTCACCTTGCGCACCCCCTAGCGGCAGCTCGCGCGCACCACACTTTTGGAATCCCTGAGCTAGACTGTATGTGCAAACTTCTGTTTTTGCTTTGTTTTCTTTACTTTATATGGAAGGTCATTTAAAGTACTTGTATGCTGCTTTATGTTACTTCTGACCTATACTGTTCTTTTCTGTTGGTCTTTGTTTAATGGCTGCTTTGTTCTTAACCACCTGTACTTATTCATATCTTGTTGATTTGTAAGATATGCGCTGTATTTGTGAATTTGTTCAATTAAAAAAAAAACGACCGACTAATGAACGGCTCCCATGAAAGAGCCATAAATCCCATCACTAGCCAATAGTAGGAGAGCTCTTCCAGCCAATCAGAGGCGAGAAAGGCGGGACCTTCCTTGAACATCCTACGATTCCAAATGACGTGGTCAGCGCCAAAGTTCCAAAGCCCGTGTAAGCCACGCCCATTGTCCACTTTCTGATTGCACCTCAACCCGGAAGTAGACCTCCGACCATCGTGTAGAAGTTGTTGTTTCTTTGCTCCAGAGTGCTGAACAGGAGAATAAATGATGTTTTACTGCAGCAGCGGCGGCTCGGAGCCGCTCAGCGGGTCTAAAACTGATATTGTGAGAGGAATCATCACCGAGAAGCTGACCACAGCCGCCCAGGAGATCTTCGCGGTGGTGGAGAGGATCGTAACCGACTACGAGGCGGAGGCTTCAGGCCTCAGGCAGCAGGTGGACCGCCAGAGGAGGCAGCTGGAGCTCCTGCAGCCTCGGGTCAAACTCCTCAGAGAAGGTCAGTGGGAGGTTGTGCTGAGAGACTTCTGAAGATTTATTACTGGCACGTGGAGGTAAACGTTTCATCTGACGTGTTGTTTTATTGTGTCTGAAAACACAAAGAGCTGGTCCCAGATCAGCGCAGCCATGAGGTGGTGGCTGCTGGTGAGGAAGAGGAGCAGCCAGGTATGTGTCAGCAGCTACAGCTAACTTCTAAATGAACCAATCAGAGATCAGAGACTAACTCTGGCTGTTTGGTGGCCAGATGAGGAGGAAGCAGAGAGCCAGGACCTGCCGCCATGGACCAGTGAGGTGGAGGATGGTGGTGATGATGATGAAGGTGGTGATGATGATGCCCCAGCAAACCTCGGGCCATTCCAAGATAATCTGAAAGACCCAGATTATATAATCCCATCAAGGTAACAGAACGACCAGAGGAGCCACCACTCAGCTGCTGCTGCTCTCTGATAAACGAAGCTGAAGTTGGTTTCAGTTTCTGGAAAGAGCAATTCCAACCAAATGTCCACTCCACAAGCGTCTTTGAACCGCTCCTAGAGAGCTACTACAGCTAGACACGTCTAACCTGGACTAGATTATTCTAGTTCTTTTTCATTTATACAACTTAAGGAGAGATTTTAGCATGATTTTCACATCTGAACACATTTGAACCAAAGCCCTCATTACAACACATTCTTAGAAATTGTACTAAATTCCATCCTACGTTGGAGTAAACGGCCAAAATCGTGATTTATGAAACATGCGGTGACCACATGCGTGCTTGGGATGCACCGAAATGAAAATTCTTGGCCGGAAACCAAAACAAAATAATCGTGTCAATAATTAGAACCGTGGCATTTATGGCTATGGGTGCTAACCTCACTAAAATTCCGGAGGACTGTAAAATTAACCCTTTAAGCACCAAAATCGCAATATTGCGTTTAACGAGCCACAGCTGCAAACAGGGTCCGAAATTAAATTTTTTACTCACCGGCCAAGTTGGCCGGTAGATGATGAAAATCTACCAGCCAAGCATATTTTTTACCAGCCAAAATTCTAAATGATTTAGATCTACCTAAAGCATGTTATTCTATATTATGTTGATTCCAAACAGAGTGACAAAATAATTAAAACATCAATTAATAAGGAAAACAACTCTTTTGTCATTTTTACTATTTATTTATTTATTTATTAATTTTTAGAGATGTTTTTATGAACTCTTTCATTGAAATCTAGTCAGACTCCTTGTTTTCTCTGTCCATGAAGTCTGGCCTCCTGCTTCTGACACCGTCTTTGTGCCAAAGCATTACAGCCTCATTTGGGTCATAGTCCTTGATCTCTGGAGAACACAGCTGCACCATGAGAACATCTGAAAGTGTGTCAGGGCTAGGGTTGTCACGGTAACCGGTGTAGCGGTAAACCCCGGTAAAAAAAGTAGACAATAATAATAACCGTCTTGTTTTTAAAAAAAAAAATATCTCGGTGGATTACCGTGGCTGCGGTGTAGGCGCGGTGACCCTTACCAGCCACCGTATCATCTGCTAGAAGTTGCCGGCGGCACATGCGCACTTTGTTGTTTACAACCAAAACTTTCTTTAAGCTAAAGCTGAAATAATGGCAGGAGGAGACGGCACTCGGGACATTTATTATCCCTCAAAGACGACAAAGTCGGAAGTATGGGCATTTTATTTTGGATATTTGAAGAATGCCGAGGGACAGTTGTCTGTGAAAGGCAGCAACGCTACGTGGCCATCATAATGTAGCCATTGTCTCACGACTCCGCCATCTCCAGTTCGCCACTTTTCACAAAATCTTCTGGTTGCCACTGGTCCTGGTGGTTTTTCTTCCAGTTCGACGAGTTTTCCTTTGGAAGGCTGGCTGACTCCAGTTAAAAACCGCCACATGACCCGCACTTGTATAGCGCCTCTCAGAGTAAGGACTCCAAAGCGCTTTACACTACAGTGTTTCATTCATCCATTCACACACACATTCACACACTGGTGGGGATGAGCTACGATGTAGCCACAGCTGCCCTGGGGCGCGCTGACAGAGGTGAGGCTGCCGAGCACAGGCGCCACCGGTCCCTCCGACCACCACCAGCAGGCAACGTGGGTTAAGTGTCTTGCCCAAGGACACAACAGCAGAATTCTCTGTCCGGAGCCGGGATCGAACCTGCAACCTTCCGATTACTGGACAACCCGCTCAACCTGTTGAGCTACTGTTGCCACATTTCACCGCTAGTTTTAACACGAAGCTAACTGCTAACTTGATAAACTGATTGAATGGCATAGGTGGAAATGACGTTGGATGCGGCGTTCACGTTTCGCGTACGTTTGTGTGCGTTGCATGCAGGCGGGAGGAGTATCAGACATCCATGGAAGATGACTGATAAACATAACTAATTTGATGCAAACATTTACTCGCCAGGTGGCAGATAGAGCTAAAAAATTTACCTGCCAAATGGAGCAATTTACTCGCATTTGGCGAGTGTTAATTTCGGACCCTGGCTGCAAATATAATCTTGACGGCCTGTTTCAGCTGTTGTTTCGGTTATTTAGGTGTTTCTGCCTCACAGAACCACCTTATTTGTAGCCCCCTTGAGCCTACGCCTGAAAAATGGGGCCCTCTTCCAGTCTGGCATTTTACATGGAGACTATAGATGGTCGTAAAAGGAGGCGTAGCGCCAAGACAGTTTATAAATAAATAACTAAATATTATATTTAGACTAACTCAGGAGGTATCACCATTGTTCCATCCTCTTCAAATAGGAAATCTTGAATTTAGAATTTTTTAAAAATTTACACTAATGTTCAGCTACTTTTTAAACGGCGCTACGTGATTTTACATCCTGACAAAAAAGCCACGAGCCTCCAGATCCACCTCTAGAGGGGACACAGCCTTCCAAAGCCTACAGTGGCTTTTGGCACTTTGTCAATGCGAGACGTTTTAAAGTGTTCTACTCTTAAATCATTTTCATGCTCAACTAAAAATGTCTCCTAGAAAAACTTGAGTGTACACATGGTTGTTAATTCAGTGAAGAGTGTGCGTGTGAGTGCTGGACATCGTTATTAAGTTTAGATCAATGATACGCGCTTATGCTAACACTGTTTGGTTTTGTGATTGTAGCGGCAACCTGCCCAGGGACTGCAGGTGGAAATTAGCATCTTTGCTAAAACCTGGAACAATACATCTCTCCTTTACGATTAATGTACAAATACTGTTTTAAAATGAACTTATTAGTTGAAATGAGTCCCTATTCTGTACGATTTGTCTCTGAACGTGGTGCTGGAACGAGTCAACAGTGAACCAACATCCTGACGGCTGGGAAATTTGTCCTTTTGTTGCAATACCACTCCTGAACACCAGAGGTCACCAGTGTTCACCAGTGTCCGTGTTCCATATTCTACCTTTAACCATACAGTTCAGATTGGGCCAGACAGGAAGTCAAACATTAAAGCAACGTAAAAACATCCAGAAACTTTCAAAATAAATCAGATTTCCAGTTGCTTAACTAGTGATGAAAGAAGGCGTGGTCAACAGCCAGAAAATAAACCAGAGCTGTCTTTCTCCTTGCTTGGTAATGCATGAAGTGTGGAAATCACGAGTGATGGTGGGATGCTCCGGTGATATATGACCAGCTGCATGCAGCACTGTTGATGCCGTTTCATGTCTGAACGCTCAAACTGGGAAGGGGGCTCGCGGTTAAAACTCATCATTACATTAAAGCTGCTTTCCGGAGTTTTTCTCTTTCAGAAATTATGTATGAGTTGTCAGAAATCCGTAAAAGTGATTATCTTATCATGTACTGTGATAAAATGTAAGCAATACGTCCTTTTTTTTCTTTTTCTTCTGCTAAGCACGCTCCCTGCTTCGGCAGAGCTCCGTGCAGTAGGAAACTGAGCGCCGACCAGAACTAACCAATAGCGTTAGACTACCGCATAGATGCTTCAAATTTAAGGAATACCTCGGCTGATGCAGAGTTGGTGAACTTTTCACGGACAAGAAGGCCTCTAAATTATAAATATATGAAAACACAACATGACATGAGAATAATACTCGTAAAACAACGTGTTTTAGCTGTTTGTCGGCTACAGAAGCACATTTATAAACAGAAACGTGAAGTCGCCATCTTAAAAAAACAAAGGAACAGAGTTTTTGTATGATACGCTTGTCAGCCACTAGATGGTGCCATCGGATAAGAGAAATACTCCGGAAAGAAGCTTTAAGCCCCGCCTACACATCCAAAAAAGCTACTCTGCAGTAGGGATGCACTGATCAGGTTTTTTGCTGCCGATCACCGATACCGATCACGTGGATTGTTCAGACATTTTCTACAACATTATAATGAGTGCTACAAACTACATAATCTGGGAATAAAGGAAAGGTAACCTAATCTAAAATGGTCTGTATTAGGGTTGTCACGGTGTGAAAATTTAACTTCACGGTTATTGTGAACAAAATTATCACGGTTTTCGGTTTTATCGCGGTATTTTTTTAAACGTGCTACATTTTCACACAATTAACTAAACCCTGTATGTCAGGAAATATTGTCTTCAGTTTGTGTCTAAATTTTGCCTAAAATGTGTTATTTTGTAATTATGTTGTTTATTTGTTTACATTTTTCCCCTTTAGTCTTTAAAATACCAATATTTGCCCATAACTTCTTATTTTATGTCTGTTTGATGTCATCATTTTAAAAAATATTAGATCAGATGATACTCAGTACTCAAGTAGCCTTCTAATCAGATACTTTTTTACCCTTACTTGAGTAATAAACCCTATATCAGGAAAATATTGTCCTCAGTTTGTGTCCTTCCAGTGAGCTTTGCAGATGTGGGAAAATGTCATCAGGCAGTAATCGTTGTTAAATTCACAATTATTCTCGGAGAGAGACCAACTCTTATCTGCCCCTTGGAGCCCCGTAATGCATAGCGTCATTTCAATATGGGGGTGTCCGCGACACGGTTTATATGCAGGTAGCGGCGCTGCGGCTGCTTTATATAGCGACTCGTTGTATTCTCCCTCAACCCAAATCCTCGGATCACGCATTTTAGCTAAAGCGCTAACGTTAGCTTGCCTTGCGTTGACTGTAGAGTTGTGGGTGATCGTCATGCAGATGTGTCATGAGATTTGAAGCGTTGCTGCCTTTCACAGACACTTTTTCTGCTCGTGCTGCAAACAGGATAGCCGTCTTCTATCAGCTGTCCCTCGGCATTCTTCAAATATCCAAAAAATGCCCGTACTTCCCACTTTGTCTTCTTTGAGAGATAATAATTGTCCTGAGCGCTGCCGTCTCCTCCTTTGGCCATTATTTCAGCTTTAGCTTCAAGAAAGTTTTGGTTGTAAACAACAAAGTGCGCATATGCCGCCGGCAACTTCAGCCGATGATACGGTGGCTGGTAAGGGTCACCGCGCCTACACCGCAGCCACGGTAATCCCACCAAGATAATATTTATTTTTAAAAACAAGACGGTTATTATTATTGTCAACTTTTTTTTTTTACCGGGGTTTACCGCTACACTGGTTACCATGACAGCCCTACCTGATCGGTCTGCTTTGATCTATTTTGAAAACTCCGATCAAAACCGATGGGGGCGCTATCGGCCGATTACGATCAAATGCCGATCCATCGGTGCATCCCTACTCTGCAGCAGGATCTGTGTCCACGTTCACACTTGGAGCTCATCTTCCAGTCTGAGTTACGGGCTCTGAATTCGCTGGGATTAAACCTGTAAATCTAATCCTGATCCAGGTGTTCTAGCTGCTTTAGATCAATGTCCAAGCTCTATGTTCTATCTGAAGGTAAGAGCAGCAGCAGCTGTGTGTGTGTGTGTGTGTGTGTGTGTGTGTGTGTGTGTGTGTGTGTGTGTGTGTGTGTGTGTGTGTGTGTGTGTGTGGTTGTGTGTGTGGTTGTGTGTGTGCGTGCGTGCGTGTGTGCGTGCGTGCGTGTGTGTGTGTCAGAGGAGTCAGAATTTACAGCTGGACGCAGCCTGAGACCCAGGACTAGTATCTTTTCTGAGACCGAAGGATGTCCGAACATGTTCACCGTACTGAAGAGAACGTTTGAGACATCCACCAATCAGATCTGCTTCCATTCTGCAGGTCAGATACTTCTGTTGGTAATTCTGTCAGGAAGGGACCCTGCAGGCCTCGGCTCAGTGGCACACACGACGGAATAGATCTCCGAGTCCGGCTACTGGAGGACCCTGACACCAAAGTGTTGTCTAATGAAGGTGAGTCTCAGGTGGAGGGATGAATGGATGAATTGGGTTTGTAGGTCAGTGGTTCCCAAAGTGAGGGGCACAGTGCAAATAGTTCATTTATTCATTAATAAAGCCCCTCACACGATTATATTGGACACCCAAGGTGCTGGACAAATGCACAAGATAAGACTTTATTGGGTTAGGGTGTAGTTAAGTTTACACACTGTTTAATATGATTTCTGGTGATAAATTAAATTAGGAGATCTGGTCACTTAATGAACCGACTCTTTGAGAGAACTGGTCACTAAATGAACTGGCTCTTTCGAGAGAACTGGTCACTAAATGAACTGGCTCTTTTGAGAGAAGTGGTCACTAAATGAACTGGCTCTTTGAGAGAACTGGTCACTAAATGAACTGGCTCTTTTGAGAGAACTGGTCACTAAATGAACTGGCTCTTTTGAGAGAACTGGTCACTAAATGAACTGGCTCTTTCGAGAGAACTGGTCAGTAAATGAACCGGCTCTTTTCAGAGAACTGGTCACTAAATGAACTGGCTCTTTGAGAGAACTGTTCACTAAACGAACTGGCTCTTTCGAGAGAACTAGTCATTAAATGAACCGGCTCTTTCGAGAGAACTAGTCTGTAAATGAACCGGCTCTTTCAAGAGAACCGGTCACCAAATGAACCGGCTCTTTTAATAGAATTGGTCACTAAACAAACCAGCTCTTTGAGAGAACTGGTCACTAAACGAACTGGCTCTTTGAGAGAACTGGTCATTAGATGAACCGGCTCTTTTCGAGAGAACTGGTCACTAAATGAACCGGCTCTTTCAAGAGAACCAGTCATCAAATGAACCGGCTCTTTAAATAGAACTGGTCACTAAACAAACCGGCTCTTTGAGAGAACTGGTCACTAAACGAACTGGCTCTTTGAGAGAACTGGTCATTAGATGAACCGGCTCTTTTCGAGAGAACTGGTCACTAAATGAACCGGCTCTTTCAAGAGAACCGGTCATCAAATGAACCAGCTCTTTTAATAGAACTGGTCACTAAACAAACCGGCTCTTTGAGAGAACTGGTCACTAAACGAACTGGCTCTTTGAGAGAACTGGTCATTAGATGAACCGGCTCTTTTCGAGAGAACTGGTCACTAAATGAACCGGCTCTTTCAAGAGAACCGGTCATCAAATGAACCGGCTCTTTAAATAGAACTGGTCACTAAACAAACCGGCTCTTTGAGAGAACTGGTCACTAAACGAACTGGCTCTTTGAGAGAACTGGTCATTAGATGAACCGGCTCTTTTCGAGAGAACTGGTCACTAAATGAACCGGCTCTTTCAAGAGAACCGGTCATCAAATGAACCAGCTCTTTTAATAGAACTGGTCACTAAACAAACCGGCTCTTTGAGAGAACTGGTCACTTAATGAACCAACTATTTTCAGAGAACTGGTCATTAAATGAACTGGCTCTTTCGAGATGTAGCGTTATGGATTTATGCTCTTTTATGAAAGAGGAACCATGCTACGTATTAATTCGGAATATTAATTTTAATAAATCAATAACCAAATTTAATATTGTTCAGAAGACTCAAAGGTTGTTTTCATCGATAAACTGACGATAATATCTGAGTGTCTGTGTTTCAGTTCAATGAGGAAACCAGTTTCACAATTAAAAGTTTTAATTCTTCAAATTAAACTAATGATTTTGAAATTGACAAACAGGAAATACAATCAACATTGGTAACTTTGTGGGACAATCTTTTTAACAGTTGATATGCTGTTCTGGCTCAAATAGACCTTCTGGTGAATTTATAAGATTGAGAATGTTGTGAGTTGTGAGATTGATATGAGGTGAGATGGCTGCGTGTGTGCATCTGATTTTGCTTCAGGAAGAAACAGGTGTCTGAGTGAAAAGTGATGGTTTGAATAAACTTAGGTTTTTAGTTGGAAAAGATGCATCAAAACGCTAAACACCGTGTTCTGTCTCACCGAATTCTTGTGGACCCTCTTTCGGATCCGGGCCGTGGAGGATGTTGGTTCATCCAGATGACACCGGCGGCTGACAGGAGACGAGGTGTCGAACGGACCCGGTCCAGAGTTGCCCTCGGTACACGTTGATGGTAAAGCGTTTTGTCGACGCGCTTTCTTAAGTTAATTCACTCAGAAATCAAAAGACTCGGTAATGAGTCTGCGTTAGAAGTTGCGATTCAGCTATTCTGCCTGGCGTGGCAGAAACAGCGTGAGAGAAGGGGGGGGGGGGATTGAGCCCATGGGCTCCGTTCCCCGTTAGCGGTTGTTCACAAGTCCTCTCTCTCTCGTGGCCCAACACGAACTGAATCAAAAGACTGAAACTTACCAAAAACCTTTCTCTTCTCAAAGCAAAACATGTGCGTCATCAAATGTGTCTGGATTTTACTGTGGGAAGGTGTGTGTGGGTGTGTGTGAATGTTTGTGCTTGAGTGTGTGTGAAGGTCAGTAACAAACATTCTCAACATTATTTAAGAATGGATTCATTAATCCATTATAATTACCCCAAAGCATAATAGTCATTCATTTGATTAAACACATTTATAATGAGCAAAATGATAATGGTTATTTTAACATTAAAATCAAGAAAAAGAAGTTTAAACTTTATGTTTTGACTTGGTCTGGGTACAACTCATGTAAACACATCTTCTGGTACCGCAGGTGGCTGATGTTATGGTTTCCTCCCAGACTCGCTGGCGTTCAGGTCTTAATCTGTGGGTGAAAGTTCTCAGCGACCCAGCTATGACCCAGCTGCGTCCAACACCACCATTGTGACAGAAAACCCATATTTCCTCACGTTACAGAGAGAACTAGTCTGTAAATGAACCGGCACTTTCAAGAGAACCGGTCACCAAATGAACCGGCTCTTTTAATAGAACTGGTCACTAAACAAACCGGCTCTTTGAGAGAACTGGTCACTAAACGAACTGGCTCTTTGAGAGAACTGGTCACTAAACGAACTGGCTCTTTGAGAGAACTGGTCATTAGATGAACCGGCTCTTTTCGAGAGAACTGGTCACTAAATGAACCGGCTCTTTCAAGAGAACCGGTCATCAAATGAACCGGCTCTTTTAATAGAACTGGTCACTAAACAAACCGGCTCTTTGAGAGAACTGGTCACTTAATGAACCGGCTCAAACGGCTCCTCACATTTTTTGTTTCATAAAGGGGCATTATGGAAGTCTGACAGCCAAAACATGTATAGAAATAATAAATGTCTTCTTCATACATTCTCCTGCAATGCCCTGGTCCTGTAGAATGAGCCCTGGCAATTTTACTGTGATTGCCTGTTCTTCTGTAAAGTCACAGAAAAAGAGAGATGCTCGGGTTGAGCAGGCTGCTTCATGCGCGTTCACGCTCAGGCATCGCCCGTAGCCTTTGCTATCCGTAGCTTTAGCAGCAGAGAGAGAGGCAGTGCCACTTTGTCGCTGTTCCTAACGCCTAGTGACAAAGCTAGCTACATTTCTGACGACCCTTAGCTACTTTCTGTAGAACTTTCTTCTAGATATTTCCTGCAAATTAGCAACAAAATAGCCATTTTCACTCTGAACCGTTCTTTGGTTTAACATTGTTTCAGCTGTCATCAAGGATATAAAAGTTACAGATACATAGAACATCACTGGCACCTTAGCTCACCTTGTAAGATGTCTGACTCTCGTGCAGAAGACCTGGGTTTGATTCTGGACGTGAACATAGTTCATTTAGAGTTTCTTTTTTTACATTAATGATATATTTTTTACAGTAAGATGCCCAAATTTTTATTTGAGACTCGCCGAACGGCATTGAATTGACAGATAAAAAAGATGTGGGTTCAACTTTCATTTTGGAACAATTTTTCAAGCAAGGGAAGGGAATGACCTGAGCATGCAGGAGGACTGACCCATCATAAACCTTGGTCGGCTGTGCTGAAGAGAAAGTTACAGAACCACATTATTTAATTAATTAGCTGCTCGTTCTCCTGTCCTCCGTCCTCTGGGCCACACACACACACACACACACACACACACACACACACACACACACACACACACACACACACACACACACACACACACACACACACACACACACACACACACACAAGGGACTGTCTCCGCTGTTATTTTCATTAAGGAGTGTGCACGTACAGCATGCGCGCCTCGTGCACGAGCCTACTATTGAAGCTGCCGTTACGCTTTTGGCCTGAGGGGGCAATCGCGAGCATAAAAATTCAAAAGTCCTTAAAGTCCCTTTAACAGAGCCGGAGTTCCCATCACTAATGCTGGCACATTTAAAGGTCTTGGTCCCAGTATTTACATAAGAGGAGTGAGAAAAAGCATTAGAATAAACAAAAACACCGTAAACACTGCTGGCACCTGAAAGTAAAATATTTGCAAGTAGGTAATTGTAAATAAAGTTTATGGTGCATTCAGAGTGGTGATCACTTGGGCAAAGTAACTGTTCTTGTTGGATGGAATGAAAAAAACTTCGGAACGACTAAATTTATGAAATTAATAAATTCTACATACTAAATGAAATAGTTAATTTATTCATTAGTTCATATATATAATCCACATCCCAATACAAACCTTAAGATGACTATATAATGTATAATAGTATACAATGGCTGAAATAATTTTCATGGTTTGATCCTAACACTTTAAAGAGAAGCTGCTACAAGAAGAAATGAGAATAAAACAAAACATTTTTGAGCAGCAATTTATTAAAAACGATACTTAGACTCAGACTAAAGATGGCACAGGCCTTTTGGTACATTAGACGACCCAAGCTTACTTTCATCAACCAGATAAATGTGGTTTTGGAAGTCTACAGGTGCTGGCCAGTAAATTAGAATATCATCAAAAGGTTGAAAATATTTCAGTAATTCCATTCAAAACGTGAAACTTGTACATTATATTCATGCAATGCACACAGACCAATGTATTTCCAATGTTCATTACATGTAAATTTGATATTCATAAGTGACAACTAATGAAAACTCCAAATTTGGTATCTCAAAAAATTAGAATATTCTGAAAAGGCTGAATATAGAAGACACCTGCTGCCACTCTAATCAGCTGATTTACTCAAAACACCTGCAAAGGCCTTTAAAAGGTCCCTCAGTCTTGTTTTGAAGGCACCACAATCATGGGGAAGACTTCTGACTTAACAGCTGTCCAAAAGACAATCATTGACACCTTGCACAAGGAGGGCAAGACACAAAAGGTGATTGCTAAAGAAGCTGGCTGTTCGCAGAGCTCTGTGTCCAAGCACATTAACAGACAGGCGAAGGGACGGAAAAAATGTGGTAGAAAAAAGTGTACAAGCTCTAGGGATAACCGCACCCTGCAGAGAATTGTGACGACAAACCCATTCAAAAATGTGGGGGAGATCCACAAAGAGTGGACTGCAGCTGGAGTCAGCGCTTCAAGAACCACCACGAGGAGACTCATGAAAGACATGGGATTCAGGTGTCGCATTCCGTGTGTCAAGCCACTCTTGAACAAGAAACAGCGCAAGAAGCGTCTCGCCTGGGCCAAGGACAAAAAGGACTGGACTGATGCTGAGTGGTCCAAAGTTATGTTTTCTGATGAAAGCAAGTTCTGCATTTCCTTTGGAAATCAAGGACCCAGAGTCTGGAGGAAGAGCGGAGAAGCACAGAATCCACGTTGCATGAGGTCCAGTGTAAAGTTTCCACCGTCAGTGATGGTGTGGGGTGCCATGTCATCTGCCGGTGTTGGCCCACTCTGTTTCCTGAGGTCCAGGGTCAATGCAGCCGTCTACCAGGAAGTTTTAGAGCACTTCATGCTTCCTGCTGCTGACCAACTTTATGGGGATGCAGACTTCACCTTTCAACAGGACTTGGCACCTGCACACAGTGCCAAAACCACCAGCACCTGGTTCAAGGACCATGGTATCCCTGTCCTTGATTGGCCAGCAAACTCGCCTGACCTTAACCCCATAGAAAATCTATGGGGTATTGTGAAGCGGAGGATGCAATACGCTAGACCCAACAATGCAGAGGAGCTGAAGACGACTATCAGAGCAACCTGGGCTCTCATAACACCTGAGCAGTGCCACAGACTGATCGAGTCCATGCCACGCCGCATTACTGCAGTTATTGAGGCAAAAGGAGCCCCGACTAAGTATTGAGTGCTATACATGCACATTCCTTTCATGTTCATTCTTTTCAGTTGGCCAACATTAGAGAAACAAACATTTTTTCATTGGCCTTTAGAATATTCTAATTTTCTGAGATACCAGATTTGATGTTTTCATTGGTTGTCACCTATAAATATCAAAATTAAACGTAATAAACATCGGAAATACATTGGTCTGTGTGTATTGCATGAATATAATGTACAAGTTTCACGTTTTGAATGGAATTACTGAAATATTTTCAACCTTTTGATGATATTCTAATTTACTGGCCAGCACCTGTAGACCTCATTTATCACAAACCTTTCCTTTTAAGCAGGATTCATATCTTCTGTTCCAGTGTTTAAGAAAACTCCAGTCCAGGACCTGAAGTGTCCCCGTGGTCTACAGGAGTCGGACTTCCTGCACCTCCTGAGGTCCTCCTTCCCTCAGCTGGCTGACGGAGAACCTTTTGACCTCTTCAAAAGTGACTGCAGCAGGAAGCTGCTTCCTCTGAGAGTGAACGCTCTGACTCCAGAGGAGATCCTTAAGGCATTTAATTGGTCTGGAAGATGTAGAAGATTGCCCCTCTACATAAGACTGAAGGTTAGACGGAATTTGAACAGTTTGTTTTACTGTTGGATAGATTCATGCTGCATGTAGCAGCTGGTCCATCTCACGTCGTGATAGCAGATGTCGTTTGTGGATGTTGGAGCAGTAAGCTACTAGTGGCTCTGCCGTTAGTGTTGAGTGTGGGTTACCCACTCTTCCCAAGCATCAAACGAATGGACACTCACTAGCCACTTTATTGGGTACAACTGTCCAACTGCTCATTAACACAAGTCACTAATCAGCCAATCGTGTAGTGGCAGCTGAATCCATTTAGGCATGTAGACATGGTCAAGACGATCCGCTGCCGTTCAAACCGAGCTTCAGAACAGGGAAGAACGGCGGTTTAAGTGACTTTGAAAGTGGCATGGTTGTTGGTGTCAGAGTAACTGCTCATCTTCTGGGATTGCCGCACATAACCATCTTTAGGGTGTGCAGAGAATGGTCAGACAAAGGTAAAATATCCAGGGAGCGACAGTTCTGTGGGTGAAAATGCCTTGTTGATGCCAGAGGTCAGAGGAGAAAGGCCAGACTGGTTCGAGCTGATAGAAAGGCAACAGTAACTCCGATAACCACTCCTTACAACCAAGGTATGCAGAAGTGCGTCTCTGAACATACAACCCGTTGAACCTTGAGGCAGATGGGCTACAGCAGCAGAAGACCACACCAGGTGCCACTCCTGTCAGCTACGAACAGGAAACTGAGGCTACAGTTCACACAGGCTCACCAAAATAGGACAAAAGAAGGTTGGAAAAAGGTTGCCTGGCCTGATAAGTCTCGATTTCTGCTGCGACAATCAGATGGTAGGTTTGGTGTCAACAACATGAAAGCATGGATCCATCCTGCCTTGTATCAACGGTTCAGGCTGGTGGTGGCAGTGTAATGGTGTGGGACATTTTCTTGGAACACTTTGGGCCCCTTAGTACTACCTGATCATTGTTGCAACGCCACAGCCTACCTGAGTATTGTTGCTGACCATGTCCATGCCTTTACGACCACCATGCACCCATCTTCTGATGGATGCTTCCAGCAGGATAATGCTCCATGTCATAAAGCTGGAATCATCAGACTGGTTTCTAGAAGATGACAATGATTTCACTGTACTCAGATGGCCTCCACAGTCACCAGATCTCAGTCCAATAGAGGACCTTTGGGATGTGGTGGAACGGGAGATTCCCATCATGGATGTGCAGCCGACACATCTGCAGCAACTGTGTGATGCTGTCATGTTAATGTGGACCAGAATCTCTGAGGAATGTTTCCAGTACCTTGTTGACTCTTTGCTATGAAGGATTAAGGTAGTTCTGAAGGTGAAATGGGGTCTGACCCGGTACTAACACGGTGTACCCAGGTGCCCCTGCTTTAAGGTTGGTTTATGCTTGACGCGTCCGCGAGGTCCGCATGGCTCCGCGCGGAAAAGTTTTGTCATTTTAACAACCACGCCCCTCCACCGCGCCTCCGCATGGCCCAAAATTTCCGCACCGCGCACCTAGGAAATTTTCTAACCACGCGGATGGTTGGACTTGGAAAAACATGGCGGACTGGCAAGAACTAGTATGGCAGAGGTTGGTAAATACAGACATTTGTATGATTCAGCTCTCAGAGATCACCGTGATCAACATGTTGTTAATTCTTGGAGAGAAATAGCTCGCACTGTCGGAAAAGACGAGGACGCTGTTAAAAATGCTGAAATGCCATGTTGTAAACAGTAATTTTTACTTCTACTATGGTGTAGTGTTGGATGCATGCCGTCGAGCTCCATGCTGCCCCCTACAGTTTGGGAGAATATTGGCTCACCGCAGAGACGAGCCGCATGAACCATAAACGCTGCAAGTTGTGAAGCGCGTTCCATCGGCGAGCCGCATCACCAAGCGGAAAGTGAATGCGTCAAGCTATACCAAGCTTTGGTCACAAAGTGAATAGCTGTTTTGCACCAGTGGTGCTTCTGTGCTGCATGAAGGGTCAGTACTGAAGAAGGAATGAAAAATAAATGGCCCACGCTTTTTCAGAGTCAGTGGACTCTAAAGGACTTTACACTACAATGTTTCACTCATGCAATCACACTGATGGTGATGAGCTACAGTGTAGCCACAGCTGCCCTGGGACACTGACAGAGTGAGTGTTGTATCTATTATGACAGACCTACAGACTGACCTTACACCAAAGCCCAAATAGGAAGACTAAATCGGATGCGGGAGGGAAATGATCTAAATTACAGTCGGATTGAATGACGTAAACCTACCAAGCTCATTGAAACATTAACGATACTGGTTCTTATCTACAGACCAGAGCTGGACTATAAAATATTTATCCAGCCATTTGATTTGATAGTTTATGGAGATTTAATTTTAAGAAAATTCAGATTTTTTCCCCCACTCTCTGGGCTGCAGGTCTGTCATAACACATGCAACCCACTAAAACACTCCGAAAGGGCTGATAAAAATGGGTGATTTTCAAACTTTATTCTGATATTTGTATTTATTTATTTATTTATTTATTTATTTATTTATTTTTGAAGAAAGAAATGGGGAAAAAATAAAATCAATACAATCGAACTTGGTACGAAGTATTTTATTTGTAAGCTCTACTCCAGACACAGATTAAGTCTACTTTTCTTTCCAGAACGGAAAGGAAAAAGAAAATGGTAATGAAGATGAACTTCGTGGTTTTCCAAGAGTCGCCCACCCGATGATCTCTGCGAACGACCAAACGGACCTTCATACCAGGTAAATGAAACACGGCAGGAACCATCCAACAGAAACCGCTCATTATAAAGCCAGGAGGAAACTCCGGCTGCCACAAATGCAGTTAACTCAGAAGTTAAAAAAATGCAGCCCCCACCCCCACCCATCCACTAGGGTCTGGCTCCAGAAAGAAGCAAGTACTCATTAGGCATGTTTCCATTAGCAGAACTCCAGGGTAGTTCCTGGGATGGGGAACTTGACCAGGAGATGGGATGTCCCAGTCCTTTCAGCTGTTGTGTCTTTGGCCCGTTCAGAACTTTGCACAGACGTCAGCAGATCACCACCGCTTTGGCAGTGAGTGATGTCACTGATCAGCCCTAAAAAGTCCCCAAAGCAACATTAATAATATTAAAAGCATTTATTTTATAAAAGTATGTCATAATTTAATCCATTCAGAGGACAAGAGCAGCTCGGAGTTCTGTGAGACAAGCCTGGAGGAATTCCACCTAGTTTTCCGGTGTCAGGATTTTAACTCATTCGCTGCCGGCCGTTTCCTGATCGGTAAAGCCCTTCGCTGCCAGCGTTTCTCACCGTTTTTACTGTTTTTTTAAGAGTCACAAAACGTTGCGCGCTAGGATGATGTCGACGCCAAAACAACCAAACCAAAGCGGAGACTAAACTCTTACATCAGGAAGAATCCGCGTGTTCAAATCGTTATCCATTCTTTCATAATCCGTTGTCGAATTGTGATCGGCAGAAGCTTTTCCAATTCGCGCCTCACTTCTTTTACAGCAGTGGCCCACAACGATCTCCTAACGCATGGATGTTCTGCTTCCTGATCATGTGACGTGTGACGTATGCGGATGAAGATCGTCTTTCGAGCTGAGATGTTTGTTCACACGGAGCGGGGGCTCGTCCGACGCCCACAGTGACTACGTTTACATGCAGCCAATATCCGGGTTATGATCGGGTTAAGGTCGGTATTCGGGTTTCTGAGTTGATCAGAATAACCCGTTTACAAGCATAAATAGAAAGAGTTACCTCTAACTTGCATAACCCGATTTAAATGCGGACGTTGGGGTAGCGTCAGGACGTATGGACTACGTCCAGACGCAATATGCGTCATTTCCGGTTCTTCTTGTTCCGGTATCCGTGAAAACAACAACATGTTTCCCAGTTTGGAAGAGATAGCGACCGCGTTTGTTTGCGCTTTAGTTTCCTCGTCACTCCAAAAGTGTGGTGCTGTGCCGCGACTCACCATGTTGCTCCCAACTTGTTGTTTACTTCCGGTGTTCTGACGCATACAAGACGTCTCGCTACTCAAAAGACCAAGATTCCTTGCGAACAGAGCATGCGCAGAACACACGCTTTGATGGGGATATCCCGATATGCGTTTACACGACCAAACATTCGGGTTAGAAAAGGGTTACCCCAGGTGTAGTGTAGTAAGCGGGTTTTTGGCGGTGTTTACATGGATCTGCGGAACCAGGTTATTGTGAATATGTGGGTTTTAAAAGGGTTACTGGCTGCATGTAAACGCACTCACAGTAAAAAAAAATGCAAATGACGACTTTTGTCGTCAATGGCGGTGAATGAGTTAAATGGATCTGTGCTTTTTTATTTTATTTTTGCTTCCATTCTGCTTCACCAGCTACTCTTCTAATTTTACCGCTGCCGATTGTTTTGACGTCTGCTGATGTCATTTTCTACTGAGTCGCAACCAATCAGTATGAGTTAACCGGAGGTTACCCTCTGCTACTCCACCAGGCCGTTCGGAGTGCTTACTCCAGAGCAGGTACTCGGAAGGTTCCTGAAAACGGCCGTTCGGATGGCCCGGTCAGGAGGGGCATGCGCATGTCGGGAGGTTCCTGTAAATCCTTAAGTTCCTGTAGTGGAAACACCTATTGACTCTCGTGTTCAGAGGACCTACTTCACAGCAGAAACACACGTTTATAGCCTGATTCAAAAACCATTTTAGGTTTAGTTGGTCTAGTTTACCATTCAGTCCAACCCCTTAAAGTTGAGTGTCAAGCAGGGAAGCGTTGGGTCCCATTGATAGTCTTTGTTATGACCCAACTGGGATTTGAACCCAGTCCCAGGGCAGACACTCTACCACTAGGCCACTGAGAAGGTAACCACAGCTCAGGACAGATAGCAAGAGTACAAAAGCAAGGGAAATAAATCAGTTGTTGAACCCCCCACTCCTCTGTTTGGTCTCCTTTCTTATTACAGCCCACCACTTCCAGTCTGGATTGTAACAATCTGCAGACAGATTTCTGAGTATCTCCTCCTTTGGTATACAGATCCTCACTGAGCCAAGTACTGTGAACAAATAGTTTCTCCATGATATTATCCAGCAAGGTCCCGTTTTTGTCAAAACAAGGGTGAGGTAATGAAAAAATAGAAATATTTCAATAATTAACATTAAAATTATTTATATGCATAATTAAAAAAAACATGTTTTGAAATATATAAAGTGCACCAAACTTGACTCAGTCCATTCAACAATTCTAAATGGACAATTATGTAACTCATCAATTAATTATTTGAAAGGATAATTTGTCAATTAAATGCTGAAAAAAATAAACAATACATTAATGAGGCAAGAACTTTTTAAACTTGAACATACCTACACCCACAAGTCTATTTTTACCTGGTTAAAACCATCTAGCTTATGTGCACTTTTTAAAACACTGCCCAGCAAACATTCGGACGTTTAATGACAGTTGAACGGTCACAACTGTAAAATAATATCACAGGAATTAGGAAAAAATAACATGACATCAACTCTATGTTCCTTGGCCGGACTCGAACCTGGATCCTCCAGAGTGAGAGTCACCCGCTCTCCCAGCTGAGCTATGACAGCAACTGCTGAATCTCAGATTTTTTTATATAGATAGGTAGAGAGTAAAGTGCGGGGTAAACTAACCAATCAGAGGACAGGGAAGATCTGCCACAGGCCACGCCTTCAGAGTGCCAAAACTCCTCACAGCCGAGCGAGCGGAATTAGAAACCGAGCGCGCAGAGGCTGCCGCGTGCACGTTTTCCTCTGCCGTGTGCTCGTTGGCAACGCGCGCACGCAGGTTTGTCACTTGTGCACATCCTTGTGTGCTCACAGACACAGTTTGCTCCCTCTCAGTGCACAAATGACCTCTCGCCATGTATATTTTCGCTCGCGAGTCCCGTTCACACGCGCGCTGTGGACCCAATGCGCGTGCACGGGTTGTGGCACGCTTTAAACGCCATAGTGTGTCCCCGGCGTAACTGTCGTCGACGTTTCCTGCAGGTTAGCTAAACACTCCGCCTGCGCTCCGGACCGTTCTTCACAACATTAGGAAAGGGAATAATGTAGTGATGTGTCAGTCGCTAAAGAAACGGCTCTCAGAGCCGGCTCCTTGTTGGATTCAAATCAAATCAAATCAACTTTATTTATATAGCACTTTTCATACAAAAAATGCAACTCAAAGTGCTTTACAGATTAAAATGGCCCCATAGATCCCACATTCCCATCCCAGCCCCCCTCCCCAAGTATAAAACAATTAAAAATTACAGTTCCCCTCCCGCACCCAACTTCCAAAGTGGACATACAATCACCCGCACACACACACACACACACACACGCACACACACACACACACACTCGTGAACACCAGAGGAAACAATAGGCTGAGTTCAGATGGGTCAGGTAATGAACGACACATCATCAGCGGAGCCATCTGCCTTGGCAGCAACAGATCCACGGCAGCAGCCAAGACACCGGCCCATGACGCCCAGAGGCGTAGGGCAGAAACCCCCACCAGTGCCCGGGCACTACCTGGGGAGCGCCCCGGCCGCCGCCGCCCCTGACCACCGGCCCCAAGGCAGAGGGCTCCGCAGAGGAAACACTGGAGGATTTAAGATATATAACATATAAAATAATAAAAGCTAATAATGATAAAAAGTAACTGATAAAAAGTGATTATAAAGATAGTAAAAGAAAACATAATCATATAAAAACACTAAGATGTATATAAAATGATAAAAATAATAAGAGAGATAAATATGTATTTATAGATAAATAGTGATCAGTTAAAAGCTAAGCTAAAAAGGTGGGTCTTGAGCCTATTCTTAAAAGCCTGGATGTTCCCTTCGGACCTGAGGTCCTCCGGCAGCCCGTTCCAAAGGCGAGGGCCGTAGTACTTGAAGGACGCCTCGCCGTGGGTGTGAGTCTTAACTTTAGGGATAACTAGGAGACGGCTGCCAGAGGAGCGCAGAGACCGCGAGGGTTTATACAGTAAAAGCAGTTCTGAAAGATAAGAAGGCCCAAGACCATTAAGACACTTAAAAACCATTAAAAGAACCTTAAAATCAATCCTGAAACATACGGGGAGCCAGTGCAGTGATTTTAAAACCGGAGTGATGTGCTCCCGCTTCCTGGTCTTCATCAGGACACGTGCTGCTGAGTTTTGTAAGAGTTGTAAACCTGAGATGCTCTTTTTGGGAAGACCAGAAAGCAGGGCATTGCAGTAATCAATTCTACTGGTTACAAAAGCATGCACTAGCGTCTCCGTATTGGCCCGAGAGAGAATGGGGCGGACTCTGGCGATATTCTTAAGATGGTAAAAACCTATTTTTGTGATGTTTTTAATATGGGGGATAAAAGTCAGCTCAGAGTCGAAAATAACACCCAGATTCTTCACTTGTAGTGATGGATAAAAAGACATTGATTGTAGTTTAGGTAAAAGTTTCTCTCTCTGGGCCTCAGGACCGATGACTAAAACTTCAGTTTTGCCTTGGTTGAGCTGGAGAAAGTTTTCAGTCATCCATGATTTAATATCTAAAATGCAATTAAAAAGTGTTTCCATTGGCTGAGAGTCATCAGGAGACACGGAGATGTACAACTGTGTATCATCAGCGTAACTGTGGAAATTCACCCCATGTCTCCTGATGACGCTGCCCAGAGGGAGCATATAGAGGTTAAAAAGTACTGGGCCTAGAATTGATCCCTGAGGCACCCCGCATGTGATGCTGTGGACCCCAGAGGAACAGGTATCCAGACTCACCATAAAAGTCCTGTCTGTGAGGTAGGAAGTAAACCAACTGTGAACAGCACCAGAGAGGCCGATCTGTTTTAAACGGGTTAAAAGAATAGTGTGGTCTACTGTATCAAAGGCAGCACTTAGATCCAGCAGAACCAACACTGTTGCCCTCCGAGCATCATAATTTGTTCTAAAATCATTTAAAATCTTCAGAAGGGCTGTCTCAGTGCTGTGGTTCACCCTAAAACCAGACTGAAATTTCTCTAGGACATGTTGGTGGTTGATAAAATCATTAAGTTGTATTAAAACAAGCTTCTCTAAAATTTTGCTTAAAAATGGTAAGTTGGATACCGGTCGGAAATTGTTAAAGTCATTAAAATCTAAATTGCTCTTCTTCAACAGGGGTCTGACCACCGCCCGTTTAAAAGCAGCAGGAAAGACCCCCGTCTGAAGGGAACAGTTCATCAAAGTTAAAATCTCATCTCTAAATGAGTCATAAAATTGTTTAAAAAACCTTGTGGGGATAGGGTCCAGAACACATGTGGTAGGCCTCACTGAGGAGAAAACTTTATCAATAGTCTCAACTTCAACCAAGACAAAACTGTCCAGTGTTTCCTCAGGTAGACACACACTCTCAGATTGATCGGGAGCAGCATGACATTGGGTGGAAAAAATGTTACGTCTGATGGTGTCTACCTTCCCTCTGAAGTGGGCTGCAAACTCCTCACAGAGAGAGTCCGAGGGGGTTTTCTGGAGAGAACTAAATTCACGACCCAAAATATTTGTGACTGTAGAAAACAGAATTTTGGGATTATTTTTGTGTTCCGAGATGATTTTAGAAAAGTAATTATTTCTGGAATTTCTAACAGCTTTGTTGTATGATTTTAATAATTCCTTGTATATTTGTTTATTAATTGTGTTCTCATATTTCCTCCATTTTCTCTCCGCCGCCCTGCAAGATCTTTTCAACATTTTCAAGTTTTCATTGCTCCAAGGGGAAGCCGGTTTTGGCTGTAGCTTTTTAATTTTAGGTGGAGCGAGCAGATCCAGAGTAGATTTAAGTCTGCTGTTAAAATCATTGAAGATAAAATCACAGGGGGCATTTAAATTAATAGGAGGGATCTTTTTAAAAGTTTCCAGAAAACCAGCAGCCACTTCAGGGGTTAGATGGCGTTTCATTACAGTTCTCACAGAGGTCTCCTGCTGAATTATGCTGGTAATGCTAAAAAACACACAGAAATGATCTGAGATCGCTAAATCCACGACAGAGGACACACCGGTGGACAGACCATATGTGATGACCAAGTCCAGGGTGTGTCCTCTGTCGTGGGTTGGTTGTGCAACATGTTGTGTAAAATCCATATAACTCAAAATGTTTAAAAATTCAGTGGTAAAAGGGTCTGCAGGGTCATCTATGTGTAAATTAAAATCACCAGCTAAAATAATACTATCAAAAGAGTTGTGCAGAATTGATAAAAACTCGGAAAATTCCTGTATAAAAAGTGCACTGTGCCTCGGAGGCCTATAAAGAGTAACACACAAAATCTGAAGATCGCTGAAAATGGCTGCACAATATTCGAATGTGGTGTAGTTATCAAATAAAACATGTTTTGCGGAAAGTGTAGATGAGCTTATAAAAGCAGTTCCGCCTCCCTTTTTTCCGTTTCTTATTGAATAAGTAAAATTAAAGTTTGGTGGGGAGGCCTCTGTGAGAACAGCAGGAGCATCTGAACTCAGCCATGTTTCTGTCAAAAATACACATTTAAGATGATTATCTAAAATGAGGTCATTTATAATAAAAGTTTTGTTCAGCAGAGAGCGAACATTTAAAAGAGCCATATTGATAGTAACTAAAGGTGGAGTGACTGTGTGATTGACTGGGGGTGAGATTATTGACAACTGTTTAAGATTATTAAGATTAGCCCGGTTAGTTTTATGTTTATGTGATCGCTCTCTGCTGATTACAGGAATGTGAGAGGTGTGCAAGGGTCCAAGTCCGATATGTGGGTTACTGTTAAAATCATAACTGGGTTCATAGGATCCTGGACCAGTGGGACATCATGATGTGGGGGGAGGAGGTTGGGGCGTGGGGGCAGCTGGGGGTGGTGTGGTGGGTAAAGGTGGTCGTGGGCAGGCCAGGCTCATTTTAAGTGTGTGGGTACCCTGTCTATTTAGATGGAGTCCGTCAGGCCCAAACAGATGCTTCCTGCCCCAAAAAATGTTAAAATTGTCAATAAAAGCAATGTTGTGCTGCACAGTGGATTAACCAGAGTGAGTGACACACACACCGCAAGTGCGGACTCCTGAGCCACTAAAAACGGCTAAATGTGCGCGTGCGGCGTGCTAAACACACGTGCAGCTTGCCCCGATTGCTGTGAGACTGGGTGGGGGGGTGCAGCTGTGGTTGGGACAATTATTACATTAGCTGATGGACTTGTAAATAAATAGTTTATAAATAAGGTAGAAATAAGTTCCTCACTCTGATAAATAATAACTAATCTCTCTGAGAACACGGTGCTAGTGCACTCTCCTACAGCACATTGACACGACTCAATAAATGTTATGCAACATTTTGTGAACATCAATTTATTTGCATTTATTTGTTATAAATGCCACTGTATAATTCTTGCTGTCAGTATTTGCAAGATATTGGTATTTGGGTCTGTACTGGTTAGACTTAAATGAGTTAAACCAAGGTCTGTAGCCCTTGGGTCATAGACTATGAGCTATAAGTATATTGGTCTTTTTATACTGGGAATCAGGAGTTCTTTTAGTGATCATCTTGTTTCTTATTTTTGTCCTGATTGTGCCCTGAGCAATTTTATGACTGAATAAAAGCAAATAAAATAAACACAAATTGAAAAATCGTCTTAAATAATCGTGATCTCAATTTCAGTCACCATAATCGTGATTATTATTTTTGCCATAATCGAGCAGCCCTAATTAAAGCTGCTTTCCAGAGTTTTTCTCTTTCAGAAATTATGTATGAGTTGTCAGAAATCCGTAAAAGTGATTATCTTATCATGTACTGTGATGAAATGTAAGCAATATGTCTTTCTTTCTTTTTTTTTGTTGCTAAGCACGCCCCCTGCTTCGGCAGAGCTCCGTGCAGTAGGAAACTGAGCGCCGACCAGAACTAACCAATAGCGTTAGACTACCGCATAGATGCTTCAAATTTAAGGAATACCTCGGCTGATGCAGAGTTGGTGAACTTTTCATGGACAAGAAGGCCTCTAAATTATAAATATATGAAAACACAACATGACATGAGAATAATACTCGTAAAACAACGTGTTTTAGCTGTTTGTCGGCTACAGAAGCACATTTATAAACAGAAACGTGAAGTCGCCATCTTAAAAAAAACAAAGGAACAGAGTTTTTGTATGATACGCTTGTCAGCCACTAGATGGTGCCATCGGATAAGAGAAATACTCCGGAAAGAAGATTTAAGCCCCGCCTACACATCCAAAAAGGCTACTCTGCAGCAGGATCTGTGTCCACGTTCACACTTGGAGCTCATCTTCCAGTCTGAGTTACGGGCTCTGAATTCGCTGGGATTAAACCTGTAAATCTGATCCTGATCCAGGTGTTCTAGCTGCTTTAGATCAATGTCCAAGCTCTATGTTCTATCTGAAGGTAAGAGCAGCAGCTGTGTGTGTGTGTGTGTGTGTGTGTGTGTGTGTGTGTGTGTGTGTGTGTGTGTGTGTGTGTGTGTGTGTGTGTGTGTGTGTGTGTGTGTGTGTGTGTGTGTGTGTGTGCGTGCGTGCGTGCGTGCGTGCGTGCGTGCGTGCGTGCGTGCGTGCGTGCGTGCGTGCGTGCGTGTGTGTGTGTGTGTGTCAGAGGAGTCAGAATTTACAGCTGGACGCAGCCTGAGACCCAGGACTAGTGTCTTTTCTGAGACCCAAGGATGTCCGAACATGTTCACCGTACTGAAGAGAACGTTTGAGACATCCACCAATCAGATCTGCTTCCATTCTGCAGGTCAGATACTTCTGTTGGTAATTCTGTCAGGAAGGGACCCTGCAGGCCTCGGCTCAGTGGCACACACGACGGAATAGATCTCCGAGTCCGGCTACTGGAGGACCCTGACACCAAAGGGTTGTCTAATGAAGGTGAGTCTCAGGTGGAGGGATGAATGGATGAATTGGGATTGTAGGTCAGTGGTTCCCAAAGTGAGGGGCACGGTGCAAATAGTTCATTTATTCATTAATAAAGCCCCTCACACGATTATATAGGACACCCAAGGTGCTGGACAAATGCACTAAATGAACCGGCTCAAACGGCTCCTCACATTTTTTGTTGCTTAAAGGGGCATTACGGAAGTTTGACAGCCAAAACATGTATAGAAATGTAGTGTAGTGGTTTATGCTCTTTTATGAAAGAGGAACCTTTCTACATATTAATTTGAGATATTGATTTTTTAATAAATCAATAACCAAATTTTATAGTTTTAAGAAGACTCAAAGGTTGTTTTCATCGATAAACTGACGATAATATCCGTGGGTCTGTGTTTCAGTTCAATGAAGAAACAAGTTTGAAAGTTAAAAGTTTTAATTCTTCCTACTCCTCCTTGAACCGTCACCTTATTGTGGTGGAGGAGTTTGAGTGCCCTAATGATCCTAGGAGCTATGTTGTCTGGGGCACTTAGTGCCCCTGGTAGGGTCTCCCATGACAAATTGGTCTTAGGTGAAGGGTGAGACAAAGAACGGTTCGAAGGATCTTTCATGGCGGTTAAAACGAAGAGTCGGAGTACCCGGCCCGGAGGGTTACCGGGGTCCCACCCTGGAGCCAGGCCTGGGGTTGGGGCCCGTGAGCGAGCGCCTGGTGGCCGGGCTTTCGCCCATGGGGCCCGGCCGGGCCCAGCCCGAACCGGATACATGGGCTCGTCCAACTGTGGACCCACCACCCGCAGGAGAAACATGAAGGGTCCGGTGCAATGTGAATCGGGTGGCAGACCAAGGCGGGAGCCTTGGCGGTCCAATCCCCGGACAAGAAAACTAGTTTTTGGGACATGGAACGTCACCTCGCTGGCGGGGAAGGAGCCGGAGCTTGTGGCAGAGGTTGAGCGGTACCGGCTAGATATAGTCGGACTCACCTCGACACATTGCATTGGCTCTGGAACCCGAGACCTGGAGAGGGGTTGGACACTCTACTTTGCTGGAGTTGCTCCGGGTGAGAGGCGGAGGGCTGGGGTTGGCTTTTTGTTAGCCCCGAGACTCTCTGCCTGTGTGTTGGGGTTTACCCCGGGGGACAAGAGGGTAGCTTCCTTGCGCCTTCGGGTCGGGGAACGGGTCCTGACTGTTGTTTGTGCTTATGGGCCAAATATCAGTTCAGAGTACCCACCCTTTTTGGAGTCCCTGGGACGAGTGCTAGATAGTGCTCCATCAGGGGACTCCATTGTCCTGCTGGGGGACTTCAATGCTCACGTGGGCAATGACAGCTTGACCTGGAGGGGTGTGATTGGGAGGAACGGCCCACCTGATCAGAACTCGAGCGGTGTTTTGTTATTGGACTTCTGTGCAAGCCGCAGTTTGGCCATAACGAACACCATGTTCGAACATAAGGATGCCCACCGGTACACTTGGTACCAGGGCAGCCTAGGTCACAGGTCGATGATAGATTTTGTAGTCGTATCATCTGACCTGCGGCCGTATGTTTTGGACACCCGAGTGAAGAGAGGGGCGGAGCTGTCAACTGATCACCACCTGGTGGTGAGTTGGATCAGATGGCAAGGGAACATGCCGCGTAGACCTGGCAGACCCAAACGCATAGTGAGGGTCTGCTGGGAACGCCTGGCAGAAGAACCTGTCAAGACGGTCTTCAACTCCCACCTCCGGCAGAGCTTTGACCACGTCCCGAGAGCAGTGGGAGACATTGAGTCCGAGTGGGCCTTGTTCCACTCTGCGATTGTCGAGGCGGCTGTTGCTAGCTGTGGTCGTAAGGTGGCCGGTGCCAGTCGTGGTGGCAACCCCCGTACCCGCTGGTGGACACCAGAGGTTCGGGGAGCCGTCAGGCTGAAGAAGGAGGCCTACAGGGCGTGGCTGGTCTGTGGGTCTCCGGAGGCAGCCGACAGGTACCGGATAGCCAAGCGGGGTGCAGCAGTGGCAGTTGCCGAGGCAAAATCTCGGGCATGGGAGGAGTTTGGTGAGGCCATGGAGAAAGACTATCGATCGGCTCCAAAGAGGTTCTGGCAAACTGTCCGGCGCCTCAGGAGAGGAAGGCAGCAACTCGCTCACACTGTTTACAGTGGGGATGGGGAGCTGCTGACGTCAACTGAGGCTATAGTCGGACGGTGGAAGGAATACTTTGAGGAGCTCCTCAATCCCACCAATGCGCATTCCGAGGAGGAACCAGAGCTGGGAGGCCTGGGGATGGACTGTCCGATCTCGGGGGCAGAAGTTGCTGAGGTAGTCAAACAACTACACAGCGGCGGAGCCCCGGGGGCGGATGAGGTTCGTCCTGGGTATCTCAAGGCTATGGATGTTGTAGGGCTGTCATGGTTGACACGTCTCTACAACATTGCGTGGTCATCGGGGGCAGTTCCTAGGGAGTGGCAGACCGGGGTGGTAGTCCCCATCTTTAAGAATGGTGACCTGAGGGTGTGTTCCAACTATAGGGGGATCACACTCCTCAGCCTCCCTGGAAAGGTCTACTCCAAGGTACTGGAGAGGAGGGTCCGATCGATAGTTGAATCTCAGATAGAGGAGGAGCAATGTGGTTTTCGTCCTGGCCGTGGAACTGTGGACCAGCTCTATACCCTTGCAAGGGTGATGGAGGGGGCATGGGAGTTTGCCCAACCAATCCACATGTGCTTTGTGGATTTGGATAAGGCTTATGACCGTGTCCCCAGGGGCACCCTGTGGGGGACGCTCCAGGAGTATGGGGTGGGTGGCTTTCTGTTAAGGGCCATTCAGTCCCTTTACCAGAGGAGCGTGAGTTTGGTCCGCATAGCCGGTAGTAAGTCGGACCTGTTCCCAGTGAGGGTTGGACTCCGCCAGGGCTGCCCTTTGTCACCGGTTCTGTTCATCACTTTTATGGACAGAATTTCTAGACGCAGCCGTGGTGTGGAGTGTGTCGAGTTTGGTGGCAAGAGAATCTCGTCTCTGCTTTTTGCGGATGATTTGGTCCTCCTAGCTTCATCCAGCTCTGACCTTCAGCTCTTGCTGGGTAGGTTCGCGGCCGAATGTGAAGCGGCTGGGATGAGGATCAGCACCTCCAAATCTGAGACCATGGTTCTCGACCGGAAAAGGGTGGCTTGCCACCTCCGGGTCGGGGGAGAGGTCCTACCTCAAGTGGAGGAGTTTAAGTATCTCGGGGTCTTGTTCACGAGTGAGGGTAGGAGGGATCGGGAGATCGACTGGCGGATTGGTTCGGCGTCTGCAGTGATGCGGACGCTGAGCCGATCTGTCGTGGGGAAGAGGGAGCTGAGCCAGAAAGCCAGGCTCTCGATTTACCGGTCGATCTACGTCCCAATCCTCACCTATGGTCATGAGCTTTGGGTAATGACCGAAAGAACGAGATCGCGGATACAAGCGGCCGAAATGAGTTTCCTCCGTAGGGTGGCCGGGCTCAGCCTTAGAGATAGGGTGAGGAGCTCGGACATTCGGGAGGGACTCGGAGTAGAACCGCTGCTCCTCCGGATCGAAAGGAGCCAGTTGAGGTGGTTTGGGCATCTGGTCAGGATGCCTCCTGGACGCCTCCCCGGGGAGGTGTTTCGGGCATGTCCTGCCGGCAGAAGGCCCCCGGGTCGACCCAGGACACGTTGGAGAGGTTACATCTCCAATCTGGTCCGGGAACGACTTGGGGTCCTGCCGGAGGAGCTGGTGGACAAGGCCGGGGAGAGGACGGCCTGGAGCTCCCTAGTTGGGATGCTGCCCCCGCGACCCGGACCCGGATAAGCGGAGGAAGACGAGACGAGACGAGACGAGTGAGAAAAAGCATTAGAATAAACAAAAACACTGTAAACACTGCTGGCACCTGAAAGTAAAATATTTGCAAGTAGGTAATTGTAAATAAAGTTTATGGTGCATTCAGAGTGGTGATCACTTGGGCAAAGTAACTGTTCTTGTTGGATGGAATGAAAAAAACTTCGGAACGACTAAATTTATGAAATTATATATAATGGCTGAAATAATTTTCATGGTTTGATCCTAACACTTTAAAGAGAAGCTGCTACAAGAAGAAATGAGAATAAAACAAAACATTTTTGAGCAGCAATTTATTAAAAACGATACTTAGACTCAGACTAAAGATGGCACAGGCCTTTTGGTACATTAGACGACCCAAGCTTACTTTCATCAACCAGATAAATGTGGTTTTGGAAGTCTAGACCTCATTTATCACAAACCTTTCCTTTTAAGCAGGATTCATATCTTCTGTTCCAGTGTTTAAGAAAACTCCAGTCCAGGACCTGAAGTGTCCCCGTGGTCTACAGGAGTCGGACTTCCTGCACCTCCTGAGGTCCTCCTTCCCTCAGCTGGCTGACGGAGAACCTTTTGACCTCTTCAAAAGTGACTGCAGCAGGAAGCTGCTTCCTCTGAGAGTGAACGCTCTGACTCCAGAGGAGATCCTTAAGGCATTTAATTGGTCTGGAAGATGTAGAAGATTGCCCCTCTACATAAGACTGAAGGTTAGACGGAATTTGAACAGTTTGTTTTACTGTTGGATAGATTCATGCTGCATGTAGCAGCTGGTCCATCTCACGTTGTGATAGCAGATGTCGTTTGTGGATGTTGGAGCAATAAGCTACTAGTGGCTCTGCCGTTAGTGTTGAGTGTGGGTTACCCACTCTTCCCAAACATCAAACGAATGGACATTCACTAGCCACTTTATTGGGTACAGCTGTCTAACTGCTCATTAACACAAGTCACTAATCAGCCAATCGTGTAGTGGCAGCTGAATCCATTTAGGCATGTAGACATGGTCAAGACGATCCGCTGCCGTTCAAACCGAGCTTCAGAACAGGGAAGAACGGCGGTTTAAGTGACTTTGAAAGTGGCATGGTTGTTGGTGTCAGAGTAACTGCTCATCTTCTGGGATTGCCGCACATAACCATCTTTAGGGTGTGCAGAGAATGGTCAGACAAAGGTAAAATATCCAGGGAGCGACAGTTCTGTGGGTGAAAATGCCTTGTTGATGCCAGAGGTCAGAGGAGAAAGGCCAGACTGGTTCGAGCTGATAGAAAGGCAACAGTAACTCCGATAACCACTCCTTACAACCAAGGTATGCAGAAGTGCGTCTCTGAACATACAACCCGTTGAACCTTGAGGCAGATGGGCTACAGCAGCAGAAGACCACACCAGGTGCCACTCCTGTCAGCTACGAACAGGAAACTGAGGCTACAGTTCACACAGGCTCACCAAAATAGGACAAAAGAAGGTTGGAAAAAGGTTGCCTGGCCTGATAAGTCTCGATTTCTGCTGCGACAATCAGATGGTAGGTTTGGTGTCAACAACATGAAAGCATGGATCCATCCTGCCTTGTATCAACGGTTCAGGCTGGTGGTGGCGGTGTAATGGTGTGGGACATTTTCTTGGAACACTTTGGGCCCCTTTGTACTACCTGATCATTGTTGCAACGCCACAGCCTACCTGAGTATTGTTGCTGACCATGTCCATGCCTTTACGACCACCATGCACCCATCTTCTGATGGATACTTCCAGCAGGATAATGCTCCATGTCATAAAGCTGGAATCATCAGACTGGTTTTGAGAAGATGACAATGAGTTCACTGTACTCAGATGGCCTCCACAGTCACCAGATCTCAGTCCAATAGAGGACCTTTGGGATGTGGTGGAACGGGAGATTCCCATCACGGATGTGCAGCCGACACATCTGCAGCAACTGTGTGATGCTGTCATGTTAATGTGGACCAGAATCTCTGAGGAATGTTTCCAGTATCTTGCTGAATCTATGCCACGAAGGATTAAGGTAGTTCTGAAGGTGAAATGGGGTCTGACCCGGTACTAACACGGTGTACCCAGGTGCCCCTGCTTTAAGGTTGGTTTATGCTTGACGCGTCCGCGAGGTCCGCATGGCTCCGCGCGGAAAGGTGTCATTTTAACAACCACGCCCCTCCACCGCGCCTCCGCATGGCCCAAAATTTCCGCACCGCGCACCTAGGAAATCTACCAAGCTCATTGACACATTAACAATACTGGTTCTTATCTACAGACCAGAGCTGGACTGTAAAATATTATGTATCCAGCCATTTGATTTAACAGTTTATGGAGATTTAATTTTAAGAAAATCCAGATCCCCCCCCCCCCCCGGGGCTTCCGTAGCTCAGTGTAAGGTGTGCCTGCAGGTCTGTCATAACACATGCAACCCACTAAAACACTCCGAAAGGGCTGATAAAAATGGGTGATTTTCAAAATTTATTCTGATATTTGTATTTTTTTTTTGGAAGAAAGAAATGGGGGAAAAAATAAAATCAATACAATCGAACTTGGTACGAAGTATTTTATTTGTAAGCTCTACTCCAGACACAGATTAAGTCTACTTTTCTTTCCAGAACGGAAAGGAAAAAGAAAATGGTAATGAAGATGAACTTCGTGGTTTTCCAAGAGTCGCCCACCCGATGATCTCTGCGAACGACCAAACGGACCTTCATACCAGGTAAATGAAACACGGCAGGAACCATCCAACAGAAACCGCTCATTATAAAGCCAGGAGGAAACTCCGGCTGCCACAAATGCAGTTAACTCAGAAGTTAAAAAAATGCAGCCCCCACCCCCACCCCCACCCATCCACTAGGGTCTGGCTCCAGAAAGAAGCAAGTACTCATTAGGCATGTTTCCATTAGCAGAACTCCAGGGTAGTTCCTGGGATGGGGAACTTGACCAGGAGATGGGATGTCCCAGTCCTTTCAGCTGTTGTGTCTTTGGCCCGTTCAGACCTTTGCACAGACGTCAGCAGATCACCACCGCTTTGGCAGTGAGTGATGTCACTGATCAGCCCTAAAAAGTCCCCAAAGCAACATTAATAATATTAAAAGCATTTATTTTATAGAAGTATGTCATAATTTAATCCATTCAGAGGACAAGAGCAGCTCGGAGTTTTGTGAGACAAGCCTGGAGGAATTCCACCTAGTTTTCCGGTGTCAGGATTTTAACTCATTCGCTGCCGGCCGTTTCCTGATCGGTAAAGCCCTTCGCTGCCAGCGTTTCTCACCGTTTTTACTGTTTTTTTAAGAGTCACAAAACGTTGCGCGCTAGGATGATGTCGACGCCAAAACAACCAAACCAAAGCGGAGATTAAACTCTTACGTCAAGGAAGAATCCGCGTGTTCAAATCGTTATCCATTCTTTCATAATCCGTTGTCGAATTGTGATCGGCAGAAGCTTTTCCGGTTCGCGCCTCACTTCTTTTACAGCAGTGGCCCACAACGATCTCCTAACGCATGGATTTTCTGCTTCCTGATCATGTGACGTGTGACATATGCGGATGAAGATCGTCTTTCGAGCTGAGATGTTCACACGGAGCGGGGGCTCGTCCGACGCCCACAATGACTACGTTGACATGCAGCCAATATCCGGGTTATGATCGGGTTAAGGTCGGTATTCGGGTTTCTGAGTTGATCAGAATAACCCGTTTACAAGCATAAATAGAAAGAGTTACCCCTAACTTGCATAACCCGATTTAAATGCGGACGTTGGGGTAGCGTCAGGACGTATGGACTACGTCCAGACGCAATATGCGTCATTTCCGGTTCTTCTTGTTCCGGTATCCGTGAAAACAACAACATGTTTCCCAGTTCGGAAGAGATAGCGACCGCGTTTGTTTGCGCTTTAGTTTCCTCGTCACTCCAAAAGTGTGGTGCTGTGCCGCGACTCACCATGTTGCTCCCAACTTGTTGTTTACTTCCGGTGTTCTGACGCATACAAGACGTCTCGCTACTCAAAAGACCAAGATTCCTTGCGAACAGAGCATGCACAGAACACACGCTTTGATGGGGATATCCCGGTATACGTTTACACGACCAAACATTCGGGTTAGAAAAGGGTTACCCCAGGTGTAGTGTAGTAAGCGGGTTTTTGGCGGTGTTTACATGGACCTGCGGAACCAGGTTATTGTGAATATTTGGGTTTTAAAAGGGTTACTGGCTGCATGTAAACGCACTCACAGTAAAAAAAATGCAAATGACGACTTTTGTCGTCAATGGCGGTGAATGAGTTAAATGGATCTGTGCTTTTTTATTTTATTTTTGCTTCCATTCTGCTTCACCAGCTACTCTTCTAATTTTACCGCTGCCGATTGTTTTGACGTCTGCTGATGTCATTTTCTACTGAGTTGCAACCAATCAGCATGAGTTAACCGGAGGTTACCCTCTGCTACTCCACCAGGCCGTTCGGAGTGCTTACTCCAGAGCAGGTACTCGGAAGGTTCCTGAAAATGGCCGTTCGGATGGCCCGGTCAGGAGGGGCATGCGCATGTCGGGAGGTTCCTGTAAATCCTGAAGTTCTTGTAGTGGAAACACCTATTGACTCTCGTGTTCAGAGGACCTACTTCACAGCAGAAACACACGTTTATAGCCTGATTCAAGAACCGTTTTAGGTTTAGTTGGTCTAGTTTACCATTCAGTCCAACCCCTTGTAATGTAATGTAATTAGAAATGTATATTTATATACTGTAATTAAATAATTTAATTCCCTGATCTTGTATATTTATACAATCTAAATAATCAATCAGAAGTGGTCGTTTTTATCATCAGGGAGTTTACTTCAACACTTTGTATTGACTGAGAGACAAGAAAGAGAGAAAGTTGGGATCGTTTAAGAATCTTTAATTTCTATAATTATAAATTCTTACAATCTACCAGGACTATCTCAATGATGGATGCATATGGATGTAGATGGTTCGGTTTGGTGTGTTTGTGTGTGTGTGTGTGTTTTGTTCAGAATCTCTAGGCTGACGTAGCGAATCTGGTTGTTTTGACTAGGCTACCACGAGGCTTCAGAAGCTGATGACATGAGCAGCCATTTTGCCGTATTTACGTACCCAGGGGGAGCCTCCCGTGTTAGATCAGGAATTGCCAGGTCCTCGGACCTTCAGAGGTACTGGAGCTGGTTGAAGCAGCGGTCACAGCACACAACGCCCGTCTGAAGGGTCGACTCAGGTAGTAGTCGGCAGGCGTCAGCAAGTTCACTCTTATTTTGAAGGAACGTCGTCTCGTTGGTTCAAACGACGGAAATCTCCAGCTTGACAAATCTCAGCTTAAAACAGGAAATACAGCTGGCCAGCCTGTACTCCTCTTTGTGGTGATGGATTGAGAGCTGGTTGAAAACAATGTTGAGAGTATGATGTAACTCCTTGGAGCTCGGATCGAACGGAGCTGATGTTAACGTGGAACTGAATATAAAATGGCGTTGCCTTCTTTTATATCTCCTAATTGTTTACCAATCTTAGTAAACCGTATTGGACACATTAAGTAAACATCCCAGATTATCTCTACGACAGACGAAAGTTCTGATTGGTTGAAAACAATGTGTCATGCGTTTCCATGGTAATGTAGATCAGACTGTCTGGCGCAGTCCTGTTTATTCATTTAAACACATAACTCATGACATCTTTATTTCACAGATCATTCACCTGATTATTAATGATCAACATATGCTTTGATTAGCTTATCACAAATAAAGTACTTTGATTAATCAATGAAAAGCGTTGTTCTTCTGTTCTTCTGTCTCTTCTCCTGGAATGTAAACATACTGAACCAAGCGTCCGACCTTGGCGATGTTACTGTGTGAAGGGGCAGCTGTTAAGGGCAGACCATTATAAGGTGAGAAGCAGTGGTGCTAAATGCTCTACTCTCCATTTTGACAAGAAGAACAGGAAGGCTGAAGAGCAAAAGGACACTAGGGGACAGGAGTGGTCATGTGAATGAAATCAGTTGTGAGGCACAGACTGATTATGGAGAGCTTAAAAAAATGATGAATATTTTGAAATTGAGTTTCTGCTTGAGGGGACGTCAGTAAATTTGTTGCAAAATGGACTTGATGTGATGAGAGGACACGTGCTGCAGCGTTCTGCAGAAGCTGATGCATCTAGAGGGATTTTCTGGAGAGACCAGAGAAATCAAATCAAAGTTTATTTATCAAGCGCTTTTAATACAGCGAGTGCAACTCAAAGCACTGTACAAGAATAAAAATAACTACACAACAGTCAATTTCCCACACCACCACACCTCCCACCCCATGAGCAAACATCTAAATGTTTAAAAGTAATACCTCCACGGGGCGTTTAGAGGTGTGCAGAATAAATGAACAGTTTCTCCCTTAAAAGCTATATTTGAAAAATAATCAAGTTTATTTTGTCAGGCACAACACTGGGTTTATGTTTACATCTACCAGCCACTAGAGGGCAGCCTTGTGCTAAAAAGTCCTCTCAGCAAGGCGAGGCTGGGACTGTGTAAAACGGCGGACTGGTGCTGGAACATGTCAGCAGTGAACCAACATCTCGATGGCTGGAAAATTAATTCTGTTGTTGTGATATTGAAGCGAGAGTCCACTTAGTGGTTTCGTTAGTATCCGCTGCTTTTTCAGGGAAGTTGAGGCCATGGTGAGTTTTATTGTGCAGACCCTGGTTTGGGCTCCCTATTAGAACTTGTTTTCTATTTTAAGGTGGAATGGAATAGCCGTACTAGTTTTCCTGTTGGGAGTAACGCTGTTACTAACGGCGTTGTTTTTTAGGTAACGGAATAATCTAATTAATTACTTTTCCCACTGTTGCAACGCCGTTACTGGGGACGGAAGGTTGTGCGTTACTATGTGCTTGTCGAACGTTGAGCAACAGTGTGAGGCTTTCTGACCGCCACACTTCAGCTGCAGCCAGGGAGAGAGAGGCGTCGGTAACGCGCTTACAAACACGATGATGATTGGCCGGGTGGGCGGAGACCCTCAGTGTTCTCACTGTCACTGCCTGCTGTAGACCCAATGAGCAGTGATGGTAATAACGCCATTTAAAATAAAAAAATATTTCTTTCTGTAACGAGCAAACTAATTAATTACCGTCTTCTTTTAACAAAACGTCGTTTCTGTTACTGATAAGGAAATGCGTGCGTTAAGCAGCGCGGTGTGTTGAAGCTGTCATCAGCTGATCAGGAGCTAAAGAGGCAGATGTTTTCATCCAAGTGCATCACGGCCCGTGAAGAACGAGGAAGACGTGATGAATAGTCTATGGCTGCAGGTGTGGATCTGCAGCCGTGCCCTTCTTAGCGTGACAGCGGGACGTCCCGAAGGTCCGCTCACCTGTTCACCGCTCAGACGTCCTGATCTTCTACCTTCCTAGATCATCCAGCTGTAACCTGTTTCTGATCATGTCTTTAGTCCCGCTGTAACACTGATGCATCAGTCTCAGACGTCATGGAGCTCAGGTGTTATCAGAACTACCTGTGTGTGTTCACCACCCAGCTTCAGCTCTTCTGTGGTTGGGTCTGACCCAAGTTAGTAAATGTAAGTCCTCCATCAGGCTTGTGCCTCTTCTAGTGTCATTTTAAAGGATTTTATTTATTTATTTAACTGTTACTAGATTACCAGCAACAGATGCTACTAATAACAATTATGTGAAGCTGGAAAAATTAGAATACTGTGCAAAATTACATTTATTTCTGTAATTTAACTAGACTGAGAGACCATTTAAAGGCTCGGGAAACTTTACAGGTGTTTCTATTTGCAATTTTAAATTTTAGCTTTTTCTTGGTAATTAGTTACTTTTATAATCTTGTATCTCAGTTAGTAACTGAGTTACTTTTTTGACAAAGTAATCAGTAACTATAACTAATTACTTTTTTAAAGTAACGTTCCCAACACTGCTTGTAGGTTCCCGTTATTCAGCGGTTTTGAATACTAGGGCGAGAGTTACTGGAGGCCAACACAGCTGACTATTATTTGGGTCCTTTCAGGATTAATTTGCACGTCTGTCAGCAATGTGGGCGGTGTTAACTAGAAAATGATTCCCGTTAGGTGATCAGGCTAACATGGATTTATCAATTAATCTAATTGATCCACCCTTTGAAATGGTTCCTTCCCACGCTAAACAGAGACTTTTTCACACGTGCAGAACAGAGCCTGTTTGAACCAACTAACCATTATGGTTTATTACCCTGAGGATGTCCCGCTACAATAGGGAGGAGGAGAGACTAAGCTCTCATTACCTAAGGTATCTTTTCTTATCTGTCACAACCTGAAACCAGTCCTGAAGTACAAGCACAAGCAATAAGGCGGCTTACCTTTGCTGTTAGGTCTGGTCGGGGCTCCCACTCAAAGGCTGAATGAGTCCTTTAAGAATTGAGAACGAGGATTCTTTTTCCAAAGATTTTATTTCAAAATTAAAAATACAAAAAGCGTGAAGCTAAGACTAAATATCCCTTTACGAGGATGCTGCTTCTAAATTTCTCTCTGGGGACAACTTCTCTCTATTACTCCTCCATTACACACACACACACACACACACACACACACACACACACACACACACACACTACTAACTGTCTAACTCTCTCCCAACTAACTCCTAGCTACTTCTAACTGCTCTTATATATCATTCTAAAAACTGCAAAGCAAAGCATTTTCATGTTACAAGCATTTTTCAGAGTGAAGCAATTTGCATTACATATATCAACCAGTCACAAGACAGCCAAACAATGTGATCGTTATATTTGTAAGATGGTTTCAGGTTCACCCAAAGTTTAAACTCCCCCACGGACGGCTCCACATCCTGTGATGCTTCCTTCAGTTGGTCCACTTCTCATTTTCACCTGCCCGATTCCACTCGCATCAGCAGGCTCCCACTTATCTTTGCTTCCCTTGTGACCTCTTCCTTTGTGGCCTTCTGTGGTTCTGGCATGCGGGAGCTTGCAACAATATCACCTAGTTTCTCAAGGATATCAATAAAACCTGCAGCCACCTGAGGGGTTAGATGATTTTTCTTGACGATTCTCACAGAGGACTCCTGTTGGGTAAAACCAGTGATATTAAAAAATACACAATAATGGTCAGAGACGGCCAAGTCAACAACAGAGAGCACACGGGTGGACAAGTCATAAGTCAAGTCAAGTCTAAGATGTGCCCTCTGTTATGAGTTGGCTCTGTGACATGTTGGCTAAAATTGATTTAATTAAGAATAATTAAAAAGCCTGTTGATAAAGGGTCTGAAGGCTTATCGATATGTAAGTTAAATCACCAGCTATAATGATCTGTTCATTGGAGTTGTGTAAGATTGATTAAAAACCATAAAGATGTGCTCCTTTTGCGGTTCAATAAACTGACACACAAAATCTGAGGAGTCCCAAAAACACCTGCATCACATTCAAATGTGCTAAAATGATCAAATTAAACAGGTTTAGTGGTAAGTGTTGCTGAGCTTACCAAGGCAGTACTGTCTCCCCTCTAACTGCTCCTTGAAGAAAAAGTCAAATTAAAATTTAGTGGGGAAACCTCTGTGAGAACCACAGGGGCATCTGCATTCAGCCAGGTCTCTGTTAAAGTGGAGATGGCATCATCGGTCGAGCGGTTGGGCCGGTATGCAAACTGGAAGGGGTCCAGGCAGGGGGGCATGATGCTGATGATGAGCATGCTGATCACTGTTGCCGGAAGTACATTCAACATCTAGTACACGTTGAGGTCCAGGTGGACAAGCATCTCCAGGGCTGCTGCGACCTTGGATCCGGGTTGAATTGCAGAACTCCTCGGCGAGTTCTGGCTGTAATCCAGGGCAACACTGTGAAGCTGCAGGAGCAGTGATCCTGCAGAGGGGTGGGGTCCAGGTGCTGTCGGAGAGGGAAAGTCCGGACCCAGGATGCTGAACCTGTTTGTCAGCTGCAGGCAGGTAGGAGAAGAGTGGTAGGAACTGTCCCATGCTTCCTTACTGTGGACCAGACACCCGACACAACTGGAGTGGACTTGATCGGGGCTTTGCGCTTTGCCCCCTGCCGAAACCAGCGGTCGTCCTCTGCAGCAAGAGAAACATAGGCAGTCTGCACCCCATCCAGAGACCCTGTAGCGAATGTCCATGGCCTCACCGTGCTAGAGGGGAACCGTGTCAGCCAGCTGGGCACTAGTGGTGGTGGAGATGGTCCGACCCAGGATAACATTTGAGTTTTGCTCATTTTCTTGGGTTTGGTGAAAATGTGATCCTCTGCTCCAGCTTGAAAACTCTCTGGCTGAACCTGAGATGGCTCTCACAGCCAGGGCTCTAGGTGAGCAGAGGCACGGAGGGGGAAGAGTAGTGATGGCCCACACTGCCACTTCAGTAAGGTAAAAGCATGCGATCACAGCAACTGATCATTTAAAAAAAATGCCTTCAGAGCAACGTTAAAAAGTTGAATGCAATTACTACGGCCAGTTGTTTAAACACGAAATGACATAAAACCAGATCAACAAGCGTGTTTTGTCGGGAGCCAGTCTAGCAGAAGTGAGGTGCAGTAATCAATCCTGGATTGATGAGGCTGTGGTGTGAGGAGGTAGAGATGGACGGAGATGAGAAATGTCTCCCAAATAGGTCGCAGGTTATTAAAATCGTTGGAGAGATTTCGCGTCTCTTGAGCCTTCCACATCAGTCACGGTGAGAAACTGAACTCTTTTCTTTTTCTCCGTTTACAGAGCCAAGTCCACACCGGTGTCCAAAATATTATGATTATTTTCACGTAACATCTTTTTGTGTTTTTTACAGCGTAAGCAACGTGAGACGAGGTCATCTGTCCAGCAGCTCCGCATCATCACAAGACCAGGAACTGAAACCGGAGGAGGAAGGAGCTGAGAATGATTCCAGCGATGGTGGAGAGAACCCAGACTCGGATGACTGGAACCCAGAGCTGGAATCTCCAACCAAACAAAAATGGAAAAATAAATCTAAAACGGCAGTAAATAAGAAGAATAACTGTAAAGTGTGTGGAGTCTGGTACAGGCACCTGGTAAGTTTGGTGCGGCACTCCTGGAGTCACGTGGAGCAGCAGCAGGATGTCTGTGGCGTCTGTGAGGAGAAGTTTGATTCGGTGGAAAAGTTAAAGGAACATCTACAAAATCACCAGAAACTTCACGGCTGTTCACTCTGTGGGAAGACTTTTGTTTCCCTTGCAAGTCTCAATAAACACAGAGCTAGACACGCAGTGAAGCGGGCTTTTAAATGTCTGATTTGTGACCAAAGCTTCGATAACATGTCTGCTCTGTACCATCATCGTCTGTCACACAGAGAAGAGAAACCACACCAATGTGACATTTGTCAGAAATCCTTTGTTCTGGAGAAGCAGCTCACGGCACACCGAGAGACACACTCCAGAGTTGATGAATACTTCTGCAAAATCTGTAATAAGTCTTTTACTAACCGTAAAGGTCTGACCCGTCACAGGGCGATCCACTCAGCAGAGCGGCGATACGCCTGCGAGGTCTGTGGGAAACTCTTTAAACTGCGTGATTCAGTACAGAAACACATGAGAACCCACACCGTCCAAGATCGATCGTTCCTCTGCCACATCTGCAGCAAAACCTTTCCATCGAATGGAAATCTGAAGATTCACATTCAGACTCATGGCAGCGAGAGACCGTTCATCTGTGATGTGTGCGGGAAAGCTTTCGTATTCAAAGGAAGTCTAAGTGCTCACACGAGGACTCACAGCAGCGAGGCGCCGCACAAGTGCTCCGAGTGCGGACGCTGCTTCAAATGGAAGTCTCACCTGAATGTCCACCTCTTTGGCCACGCTGGCGTCAAACGCTTCAGCTGTGGGGTTTGTGGGAAAGCGTGTTATCGACAGGAACACCTGAAGGTTCACATGAGGACCCACAATGGAGAGAAACCCTACAAGTGCTCCATCTGTGAGAAAGCCTTCACCCAGAGCCACTGTCTGAAAACTCACATGAAGATCCACCAGACCGCAGAAATCCCTGTCCCTGGTCCGCCAGAGTCCTCGGTGACATCATCAGCCGAACCTTCATGCTTCAGTGTTGACGAGCAGCGACTCTGAGCTCCCCTGAACTGAACTCTGGCCCTCTCCACAGCTAGATCTTGAATGTGATGATTGGTAATTGATTATTCTGATTCATAGCTGAACCCCTGACATCACCCAGCCCAAAACAAGAGGCAGTCTTCAAGACGTTTGAGCTACGCCCGCCTAACTGGCTGACATGAGTGCCTCAGACATTTTTGAACCCCACAGGAAAATATACTTGGTGTTTGGTTATCTGTTGTACTGTGTTTTTTTTTTAAGTAATCTGACATTTTCATATTTTACACTGTACCTCAACATGAAAGATAAGAATTTCTTAAATAAAATAAAGGTAAAAGTACCACTTTTATTGTCTCAGGTTCATGTTTGGGGTTGAGTTTATGTTTGAGGTGTGTAGAGTGGTAAATGTAGTGCTTTAAAAGCTAAATATATAACCTTTACCTGTGAACACTAAGCTGTGATAAATATAGAATATCAACCTGCTTGGTCTTTGGATGTTAATTAGAAGAAAACGGCTTCAGGTTGTGTGTGTGTGTGTGTGTGTGTGTGTGTGTGTGTGTGCGTGCGTGCCCGTGTGGGAGGTCTTGTTCTGTGTGAAAACGAAGCGGTACAAGTGATAATGCTGCAGGATTTCATAATTGTATCTTCTCAGCAGCAGCACTGCAGGTGCTCTCCATGTCCAGCATGTGTGTAAGCCAGGTCCTTAGTCAACTTAAAGTTGCTCACATTTTTCTGCTAAGTTTTCTGTCATAAATCCCAAAGTGTGCGTGGAAAGTAGCTTACGCAGTTTTCCGACCCCGTTTTGTGCGTAAGCTAGCTTGATGAATGAGGCCCCTGGTCATTAAGCCAATCGGTAAAAAATAGTAGTGGCTTAAATAAATCACCAAGGTGGGATTCATTAGCTCCCAGTCTTTCAGGTGGCTGAGGCGGCTGTGCTGGACACACGTGAACCTGCTGCCAATCAGGACCACCTACATCCCAGGTGTCCTAAACCATTACAGGGTATCCGCGGGTCCTTAAAAAGTCTTAAATTTGCTTTTCCAAATTTAAGGCCTTAAAAATCCTTAAAAATTACTAATAATCCTTAAATACAGTTTCCAGAGGTCTTAAATTACCAAAGACCCAATAAACAAGATTATTTTATTTCAATTTTCATGAATTTCTAGTTAGTGTTCAGCATTTTTTTGTGTACGATGTTGGCGTAAGCGGAACCGTACACATTCTGTTGGTTATGAAGGGGGCTTTTTTAGATGAGCACATTAGCTGGTTAAGCTAGTGGGAGATTGCACCATGGGGACGTGCAACTTTTATGGTAACTGGATGGCTAACCCCACTTTCGCAACGTGGTTCGCACCGGTTCCAGGCAATAGCTGGAAATTATAGTTTAAATTACATTTTAAAAAATAGCTTAAATTTGGTCAAAGTGGCCTTAAAAAGGTCTTAAAAAGTCTTAAATTTGGCTCCCTTAAACCTGCAGATACCCTGCATTAAGATTGGTGTCTACACGTGAATCTGCGTGGACATATTTGCTGCTCGCGACAACACACAGTGTTATCTGTAGGTTTCCCTGAAACCGCGAGACCAGCCTCCACTGGGAGTGAAGTTTGAGCACCAAGCTTGACCCAGGATGCTCCCTTACGTATTTTCCCTAGACTCGCGGATTCCCAGACTCCTGGTAGTAGCCCCCGAGCGCAGCTCCAACTCTTAATATTAATACAACTGGGAATAGTTTACAACAACCATGGATTATATTGTCTTTAGAGGAGACATCTATGCATTTGATTGAACCTTCACATTTTATCATACAAATCTTTAAAACATAAATATATTATCAAAATGTTACCTTCTACCTCTATTAGGGTGCTGCAAATAACAAAATCCATCTCAAAGTTCTGTCAAAGCCATTTCTGCCATTTTAATGGCTGTAAATCCAGCTTGTGCTAACTGTTAAAACAGGAAATAAACTTCAAAAATAAAAGCATTTCATCCAAACAGGAAATTGACCAAAACAGATTATAAATAGCTTGTTAATAAAATACAAGCAAATGAAGAAGTGATTTTAGGGTAAGTTACACTCCCACTGAAATATGAAGAATCGGTTTACACAAGAAGAGAAAGGAACAAAATAACCCAAGTTAAGGTTAGTGAGAAACACCTAAATGGACTTTTTTGTACTAATAAACCGGACAGATGAGTGTCTAATAGTGCTGTATGCATGTAGTCTTTAGTTAGGCATTTTAATGCATCTTATTTAAATGTAAAAAATTCAGCTTAAACCATAGTTATGTCTCCCTCTTCAGGTTAAAACTCAGCTCTGCACTGATTTTGAATCAGCCACAGCTGATGGCTATAGAAGTGGGGGTTAGGGTTGTGGGGGTTAGGGTTAACCCCCACAACCCTAACCCAGATCAGGACAAGTGGGGGAGTAGAGGGAGGTGGAGTGTACAGCCGGTAAAGACGGCTCTCCCTTGCCCTGCCTCCAACATGCCTCCATCTAAATAGGATAGATTATCCAGAGTTAACTCTGTAGTTATGCTGCTATAGGCTTAGACTGCTGGAGGACACACTGACCACTTTCCACACTCTACTGCTTTCTTCTACAGTCTGCTCTTTAACTGTATTATTTTCTGCAATTTCAGCTGTTAACTTTATTTTCTCTCAAAGTGTTTTTCTCCCCAGAAGAAGCTACAATGATGTTCTGCTGAGCTGTGGTGGCCTCATGGAGGGGGCCATCGTCTAGCACACTGCTGCTAACCACTAATACATTCTCTCTCTCCTGATAATAACTTTTTGCTTTCCTTGACGTTGGATGTGCTACTACTAGTTTACCCGTTTAATTATAGATCCACTAGGATAAATACAATAAAGTTTATCTCTCGCCAAATAGAATATTTACTAAGCAATCACGGTGTAACCAGACACATTGCTTTGTGTGTGTGTGCGTGCATGCGTGTGTGTGCGTGCGTGTGTGTGCGCTCTGTATTCTCGATCCCCAGTGAGTCGTGGAGGATGGCTGCTTATACTGAGCCAGGATCCTCTGCAGGTTTCTTCCTGTTAACAGGGCGTTTTCCTCTCCACTGTCGCTAAATGCTTGCTTAGTATGAGGATTGCTGTTAAGACTCTGATACTAGTCAGTGACTCGATGCAACCTGCTGGGTTCCTTATATAGGAAACTTACTGATTGGCTTAATGAACTGACCTGCGCTGGAATGTTTACTGTGTGAAGGTCCTTGAGACGACTCTTGTCGTGATTTGGCGCTTTATAAATAAACTTGAATTGAATTAAGTCACCAATGTAAGATGGTGCTTGTCCATGTAAGGCCCTATAGACCAGAACCAGGATCTTGAAATGAACCCTGAAGTTGACTGGCAGCCAGTGAAGCTGCAGGAGAAGCGGGGTGATGTGGGTGTGTTTGGAGGACTTGGTCAGAAGCCGAGCACAGGCGTTCTGAACCACCTGTAGACGGTTCAGGGAGGTTCTGCTCAGACACGTGAAAAGAGAGTTACAGTAGTCTAAGTGTGAGGAGATGAAGGTGTGGAGAACTGTCTCAAGTTCAGAGCGGGACAGAATGGGACTCAGCTTAGCAACGTTCCTGAGATGGAAGAAGGAAGAGCGAACAAGAGAACTGACATGAGAAACCAGGGTGAGAGCTGGGTCAAAGGTCACGCCAAGATTCCTGACTGAAGGTTTGGTGTGAGAAGCAAGCTGACCAAGAGAGTCTCTGACTTTGGGAACCAGCTTGTCTGGGGCACAGATGAGGATCTCAGTCTTATCTTCATTCAGCTGAAGAAAGCTCCCACCATCCAGGTTCTGATAGAGTCTAAGCAGGTGTGTAACAGCTGCAGCTTAGACATCTCATGGGGCTTAACCCTTTAGGCCCTAGGCCTTTTTTCTTTGGGCCCTGGCGCCTCCCAATTGGGGCCTTTGGAGTTTCATGTCCCAAGTGTCAGAGATTGTTTGCATTCCTCGAGCACAGCTACAGCTACAATCAACACAGTTTAGATTGTAAACAAAGTAATTTTTGGTTTTTGATGCATTAAGATAAAATAATAATTGAACTTTATTTTAGAAGAGCTGCCCTGTGCGAAAGTGCTGACAGGATGGAGGTTCTGAGTTCAAATTCAATGTAGTTAATTTATTCAATAGTTTTATTTATTCCAGGGGTCCTCAGCTAAATTTGTTCAAGTTTTTTTTTCCCAGCAGACACCAGTGGAGGTCAGATGCTCATCTAAAACAAAGTTCAAATACCATTGTATCTTTATTTATTACAATTTAAAATAGCATTGTTTCTCATCCGGGCTGTTTGATTGTGGTTTTAGTTGTGTTTGGAAAATATGGACAGTTGTAGATGTTTGGGACATGAAACTGTAGAGGCCCCCAATTGGGGGGCGTTAGGGTTAAACAGGTTAAAAGAGCTGTACAGGTGGATGTCATCTGCATAAAGATGGTAGGAGATTCCTTTGAAGGAGCTCAGGATGTGCTGAAGAGGAAGCAGATAGAGGAGGAAGAGCAGAGTAGAGACCCCAGCACAGAACCTTGTGGGACACTATGGGTGAGGGAGGTGGTGGAGGACCTAAACTTGGAGACGGCCACAGAAAAGGAGCGCTCAGAGAGATAAGAGGAGAACCACTCCAAAGCAGATCCTGATAGGCCTACCCAGTCTCTCAGCCTCTCCAGTAGCAGGTGATGGTCAACAGTGTCAAAGGCTGCAGTCAGGTCCAGTGAAGACTGAACAATTCTAAGATTGTGATTGTTTTGCATTTAACCAATACTAGTGTCAGTGCAATAGTCAAAGGTGTGGAAACCATCGACATATATACTGGACAATTCATTTCCATACGCTCCAATAACACATTTTTGAGGAGAAATGGGAGGTGGCCACCACCGCCATTTTGACCGTGTCACAGGTTCCGTCAAGCCCAGACAATTCCATAAAAGGGAAGAGAGGAGGAGCTGAGGGTGGGGTTGTAAGGCTGGGATCAACTGACGACACCCGGTCGAACTAGCTACAAGCTAACCTGAAGCTAACCCAAAGCTAACGCGGAGGTGGGAGCTAAGCTAACAGAGGTAGCAACCTAGCTACAACCGGAGTTAACTGTGCACAACACCAGAGCTTCTGAGTCAGATATACGCTGGGCTGACCGCTGGGTAAAACCGGGTGGAACACAGAGGTCTCCCGAAAGCTGCTGAAAGCCAGCAGCCACACAGCAGACAGAAGCCGCAATCAGACAGAGATGCGCCGAGCTGCAGGGAAGGAGAACCGGGTGGAAAACATCGGTCTCCCGAGAGCTCCACAAGCTGATAGTGGGAACCCAGCTCCAACATGTTATATTTCAACCCATTTTCTAAAGTGCAGCATTATGTTAAATGCACTGGGTTTTACCCTATTACATTTAAATTTCATGGTTAAACAGTACATGTTAAAATCTAAGCTCAGCTCGGCAGTGACCTAAAATACATAAATATAATTTTACTTACTGAAAAAATGAAGTGGAGACTTCTTGGACGCTCTATTAGTGCAATTAATGCCACAGCAAGTCATTTTGTCCAACAATTGCACAAAAATATCCAAAAAAGAATACACAAACACAGATACTCAAAATGCCGGAGCAGTTTCCAGGCCAGACCGAGGCTCTACTGAGGCCTTTCCACGGAGCTAGCTCTGTGGTCACGTGGGTCTGATGCTCATTAATTATACAGAATTTTAGGCTTTTAATACACTTAAACAGAAGAGTGAGAAAAAATTCACCCCCTCAGAGTTGTCATGAGTGTAAACTAGATCATTTAAACCAAAAACATGTTTTGGTACCAGGCTGTAAACATGTTTATTTCTGCTGTGAAATTAGTATTTTTAACATGGGAGTCAATGAGGATTTGCTCACTTCTGACACCAGCCCCTAGCGGATGAGGGTGGAACTGCAAATTTTGGTACTTCCGGGTTGATATTGTGGGGGCTTGGTGGAAACACTGATAAAAGTCGTTTTGCTTTTTTAGATGACACTAATTTATATATGTTTTTATTTCTACTTTATGACATACATATTGTCTCTTGTTTTCATGATTATTTAGTCTCTTACGCTGCGTCATATTTTATCTGTACAATGTTTTTCTGGCTACTGTCTTTTTCCCCACGGACGCATTTTGTAGCTGCACCACAATCCGGAAGTAGTTCGCTCAGACCACGTTTGGTCCGTTTTCATCCACCAGAACATAAGTGATGTTTTACTGCAGCAGCGGCGGCTCGGAGCCGCTCAGCGGGTCTAAAACTGATATTGTGAGAGGAATCATCACCGAGAAGCTGACCACGGCCGCCCAGGAGATCTTCGCGGTGGTGGAGAGGATCGTAACCGACTACGAGGCGGAGGCTTCGGGCTTCAGGCAGCAGGTGGACCGCCAGAGGAGGCAGCTGGAGCTCCTGCAGCCTCGGGTCAAACTCCTCAGAGAAGGTCAGTGGGAGGCTGGAGGTGGTGCTGAGAGACTGTTCTGAAGGTTTATTACTGACACGTGGAGGTAAACGTTTCATCTGACGTGTTGTTTTATTGTGTCTGAAAACACAAAGAGCTGGTCCCAGATCAGCGCAGCCATGAGGTGGTGGCTGCTGGTGAGGAAGAGGAGCAGCCAGGTATGTGTCAGCAGCTACAGCTAACATTTCTACAGCTGGAGACGGACTCAGATGTTTGTTCACATCAGAGATCAGAGACTAACTCTGGCTGTTTGGTGTCCAGATGAGGAGGAAGCAGCAGAGAGCCAGGACCTGCCGCCTGTGACTGATGAGGAGGATGGTGGTGATGATGCTGGTGATGATGATGATGAGCAACAGCCCCCAGCAGACATTGGACCATTCCAAGATAACCTGAAAGACCCAGATTATACAATCCCATCAAGGTAACAGGATGACCAGAGGAGCCTCCACTGCCTCAGCTGCTGCTTTCTGATGTTGTTGAGAACATCTTGTCTTCATGGTTCAGTGATGAAGTTTTACAGATACAGCATTCGGCTGTATAAAGGTTAGATTTAAAAGGAACTCCGGCTATGAGGACGTGTGTGCCTTAATAAGCCACAAGTTTTCTGTTGTACCAAGCTATGTTGTTAGAAACACACAAAATGTAGCTGTTTATGTATTAATCTATAATATTTAGTGCAATTTTTGACATACGTAGGACGCCATGTTTTCCGCACGCAGTGCACTCTGGGGGCGATGACGTACATTGGTTGCTCTTGGAAGAACAGCTATTGACGCTGGTGTTTGTTTACGCTCTCACCGTATTAATAATGAAGTAAAATGCTGCATTGTGCTGCTTTTGGATGTAATTTCCAGTCAGAGGGCAACAAGGGGAGTGATGTGAGTTTACAGCTTTCCCACTGGCAACAAGAGGAGAAAGCAGTGGGAAGATGCCTGTGGACGGACACAACTTCCCAAAGATCCGCGGCTGTGTTCCCAACATTTTTCTCCTGATGCGTTTGAGGCTTATAGTCGACCACGACTACTTAAAGAGCTCACCAGAGCGGCTGGGTATAAGAGAAGGCAGAAACTAAACGCTTTAGCGACCATTTTCCCACACAAGGAGCCTAAACGCCCTCGGAGGGACGAGAGACGCTGTCCTGAGCCGACAACCCGCTCCTGCAGCTGCCGCTTCTGTCACGCTCAGCCAACCATCGGACACGCCACTCGTCACGGATGAAGCTGAACGTTCACCTCTCCCGTCAGTAAAACAAGCAGCAAGTGTAGCAACACAGTGTTGTCCACATATAGAATATCTGCAACAATGATTAAAGTGGTTTCACTGAACATCCCAATCATCTATGAAGCACACGACAGCTCTGGATGCTAAAATTCTCCTAAATCATTCATGAATAAATCTGATCACACGATAGCTTACAGATAACTTCTGCTGACACAAATGTGAGCTCTCTCCCTCTCGGTTACCATGGAGACGCATTTGCCGCACACGCACCACCGGTTCTGTCCTGCTCTCGCTTCATCCCGCCCTTCTTGCTCTTCATGTTGATGCTCGTGTTGTGACACATGGTCAGTGATGTCATCATTAATGTTTCGCTCTGGTTCAAAGTGAAAAGGCTGAACAGATGACATGTCGATGTCGCTCAACGGTCACTACAGGGTCCCAAAGCCGCCGGTGCAACCGAGGTACAACCATATGACGTCACTACCCAGAGTGCAGTGCGACGCTAACAACAATGGCGACCTACGAGTTAAACTATTTTTACTAATTTTATAAAGTTTAAGACATCAAGAAGGTTTTTACACCATTTTAATATAACTGATCCTAACATTTATCTTTTAAGCACCACAAAGTTTTGTAACCTGGGTTCCTTTTAAGAAATCAAATTCATCAACCATCAGAGATCGCTGCCAGTTAGGGCGGCAACAACGAATCGATAAATTCGATGAAAATCGATTACTAAAAGCGTTGGCAACTAATTGCGTCATCGATTCGTTGTGTTGCGCAACTCTTCCAAAAGCCCCCCCGCCCGCTGTTGCGCGCAGACCGTAGCAAGTCAGATCAGCGCGAGGGAGAGCCGGCAGGTGTTTGGAAGAGGAACATGGCAGAAGCAGCGAGACCCAAAAAAGTAAAAACTTGTAAAGTTTTGGGAGCATTTTCAGTTAAATCAGGCGAAGACATTCGTTACCTGCAACGTTTGTCGGTCAGACTTAGCATGGCACGGGAGTACTGCAGTGATGATGCAGCATCTTAAACGCAAGCATCGGAATCATCAGCGAGGAAGGAGAGAGCTCTGTGTCCGGGTAAGTTAAAAACTTTTCAAAAGTGATTCACCCAAGCCCCGGATTATTACACAGGCTAGACATGCCCTAAGCTCGTAAAAAAAGTCTATAAAATCGTAAGTGCAACGCTATTAGATGGGGGGGGGGGGACTCGCGCTGCTGCGAACCGGTTCCGCCGTCACATTCCCGCAGAAACTGGTTGATCACACCGGGGCCAGACTACTAACATGTGGCTTTACAACCACAATGTCCTCGGAAGCAAAAACGCTTTTAAAAGGGAGGGAGGAGTCCTAACTGTTGCTGCAGGCGTGTTGTGTGAGAGTGCAGTTATATACTGGTTAATATATTTTTGGGTTCAGTTGCTTTCATGTGGCCTAATGTGAGTCTATTTGGGATCATTGGAATGATCAGCAGCATTTCTTGATGTGACTTTATGGCAGTTGCCCAGGGCATCATCGCAAGGAGGATGGCATTCATTTACTTTTGTTTTATTTGGTATTTTTTCAGTCATTTTTGGAAATAGTGATTAATTTTGATTAATTCACAGCCTATGTTTAATTACATTTAAAAATTAGTTGTTTGACATCCCCAATTATAATAAATGTCTACAGATGAGATCAAACAAAACAGATGAGAATTGCCCTTAAAGAGCAAGTCACCCCCAAATAAACTTTTTTTTGCTGATAAACTAAATAAACGAGTGTCTGATCGTGCTGCAGACAAGTGTCGTCAATAATTTGGCACTTCAGTGCATCTTAGTTCAAATTTAAATATTCTGCCTAAAACTGGCAGTGTTGTGCCGTTGTCAGATAAAAACTCTGCACTGTATTTTAATTTAAATCTGCCACCGCTATTGGCTAAGAAGTATGCTATGATGTAAACTGGTACATTATGATGTCACAATGCTGTCGTGAGCCTGTGTGTGTATTTGTTAGCGGCTCCGCCCTCTCGGTCTGCCAGGCAACAGCATTTGTTGCATTTTTCAAACATGAAGTGGGAGTGGAGTTAGACTCTGGTAGGGGTTGACTTGCTCTTTAAGCTGTTTAATTGGACCAAGCATTTTAGGTCACAGATAGGTGTAGCTTAGGGTCTCTGTCTATACACCTTATAAGACAATTTAGGTGATGGCATGTTGTTTTTCTGCTATTGAACTGTTTTATAATAATGTTGTGTTAAATAAAGTGAAGGAAGGAGAGAAATAACGTTTCCCTAGCAGTTTTTAAAAATGCCCCCATGTAATCCGATTAATCGATTAATCGTGTCAAGACCCCATCCGATTCATCGATTATCCAAATAATCGTTTGTTGCAGCCCTAGTGGAGTCTCTTGTCTAAGTGTTTTTTCTCCTTATGAGTCACCTTGTTCTGTGACTCCCATGGAAAACCATCCTAACAGTGTAGAGGCGAGCCAAGGCAAGCAGGCGTTGGTGGAAAAGGGGCAATGGTCTGACGTCTGAGGCAGTTTGATCTGACCAGCCTTTCCCAAAACCCAAGGATGTCCCAACATGAACACCGTACAGAAGAGAGCCTCTGAGACATCCAGCCAATCAGATCTGCTTCCATTCCACAGGTCAAATTCTTCCATGATTCACCAGGTCAGAAAGGGACCCGGCAGGCCTCGGATCAAAGATAAATACGATGGACTAGAACTCAGAGTCCGGTTACTGGAGGACCCTAAGATGGAAGGGCTTTCTAATAAAGGTAGGTTTTGAGTGGAGGGGTGGGTGGGTGTATGGACAGATGGTCAGATGGATGGATGGTATATGTAGGATGGGGTTGGGATTTCTGGTCCTCGATTGTTGCTGTCGTGGATGTTGTAGTTGTTTCCCTGTGCCAACCTGAGTTTTATCAGTAGACGATTAACAGGCTTCTGCAGAGCTCGATAACCTTGTGAACATGTGAACCAACCATTGAATAAGGTGTGTTGGAGCAGGGAAACAACTAATTCAGTAATTCAGTTTGTAGCGGATTTCCGAACCGGCCAATTCTGAACAAGCATCCTTGAGACATCTCTTCTGACATACAGTCAAAACCTGTTTGCACGCTGCAAGCTGACACAGCCAGACGGCTCCCTAATAGCTCTTTTCCATCGCCTGGTCTGGAACGGTCAGGTCTGGGTTAGGGATGCACCGATGGATCGGCATTTGATCCCAATCGGCCGATAGCGCCCCCATCGGTTTTGATCGGAGTTTTCAAAATTGATCAAAGCAGACCGATCAGGTAGGGTTGTCACGGTAACCGGCGTAGCAGTAAACCCCGGTAAAAAAGTTGACAATAATAATAACCGTCTTGTTTTTAAAAAAAACTATATTATCTCTCTGGGTTTACCGTGGCTGCGGTGTAGGCGTGGTGACCCTTACCAGCCACCGTATCATCTGCTGAAGTTGCCGGCGGCACATGCGCACTTTGTTGTTTACAACCAAAACTTTCTTGAAGCTAAAGCTGAAATAATGGCCAAAGGAGGAGACGGCAGCGCTCAGGAGGACATTTTTCATCCCTCAAAGAAGACAAAGTGGGAAGTACGGGCATTTTTTGGATATTTGAGGAATGCCGAGGGACAGTTGATAGAAGACGGCTACCCTGTTTGCGGCACGTGCAGAAAAAGTGTCTGTGAAAGGCAGCAACGCTTCAAATCTCATGACACATCTGCGTGACCATCACCCACAACTCTACAGTCAACGCAAGGCAAGCTAACGTTAGCGTTTTAGCTAAAATGCGTGATCCGAGGATTTGGGTTGAGGGAGAACGCAACGAGTCGCTATATAAAGCAGCCGCAGCGCCGCTACCTGCATATAAACCGTGTCACGGACACCGCCATGTTGAAATGACGCTATGCATTACGGGGCTCCCAGGGGCAGATAAGAGTTGGTCTCTCTCCGAGAATAATTATGAATTTAACAACGATTACTGCCTGATGACATTTTCCCACATCTGCAAAGCTCACTGGAAGGACACAAACCGAGGAAAATATTTTCCTGATATAGGGTTTATTACTCAAGTAAGGGTAAAAAAGTATCTGATTAGAAGGCTACTTGAGTACTGAGTATCATCTGATCTAATATTTTTAAATGATTACATCAAACAGACATAAAATAAGAAGTTATGGGCAAATATTGGTATTTTAAAGACTAAAGGGGAAAAATGTAAACAAATAAACAACATAATTACAAAAAAACACATTTTAGGCAAAATTTAGACACAAACTGAGGACAATATTTCCTGACATACAGGGTTTATTTAATTGTGTGAAAATGTAGCACGTTTAAAAAAAATACCGTGATAATACCGAAAACCGTGGTAATTTTGGTCACAATAACCGTGAGGTTAAATTTTCACACCGTGACAACCCTACTACAGACCATTTTAGATTAGGTTACATTTCCTTTATTCCCAGATTATGTAGTTTGTAGCACTCATTATAATGTTGTAGAAAATTTCTGGCCAATCCACGTGATCGGTATCGGTGATCAGCATTCTTTGATATCGGTATCGGTGATCGGCAACAAACCTGATCGGTGCATCCCTAGTCTGGGTATTATGTACCGGTATGGGTCTAGAAGTTTTTTGGCAAGCGTTTCTATCGCATTCCAGGCTCCAGCTACTAGGCGGGGTGGCGTAATGCGTCATACGCGATTAACGTCACACACCGCGACGAGATCGCGCCAAAACACAACAACAATGGAGTCCAGTCAGCAGCGCGTTCTTTCTGTTCTTGGTATTTGGTATATTTTTACACCCACACCACGATAGCGTTTAGAGCTATGCTGTGCGCATCGAGGAGGAGGGCAGCTGAAAGGCGACAAAGCTTTCTGAAATTAATATCGGACACGAGGCATAACTTTCTACTGTTGAGACAAAGACGGAGGCGCCAGGTGGTAAGTAACTTCTAATGCTGTAATACATGTCGTTATAATCTCTGAGGGGGTGTCTAGGGCAACTATCAAAAATGAAAAACAAAAAAAGCACCAAAATCAAATGGCTTGGTTGTATATTGATCGTTTTTAAGACATGCTAAACATGAAAGGCCAACACCTAACTAAGTTTCAAACATCTTCTGCACTCATGGTGATGCTAGTCAACACGAGGGCCTGAATCCTTCACTCTTTACTTCCTGGGCATGTCATAGATAAGTTGTGCAGCTATATTGAAATTATTATAATTAATTATATAGGTAATTACAAGCAATACCACATTTGTGCATTTAATAAAGTGAACAAAACGTAGCCAGTCACTGGTAGCGCCATAAAGAACAGCTGTTATTTTAACCTTAAACAAATTCTATTGATGTGAACTTTATGTCTATAACCATACTGTTTCAATCTTTTTTACTGCACTATTGTTTTTAACTTTTACTGTGTTATGACTGTTTAAAAAAAAAATTTTTTTGTTGGCTCTTTTGAATCAGCGACGACAACCAACTGTGTGTGCTAGGGCTGTCGCGGTTGATGAATTCCTCCTGCGGTGATTCAGGGTGGCTTAATATTGCGGTGTGCGATATTATTGCAGCACTTTTTTTTTATTGCAGTACTATCTAAACATAATGTTTACACATTTAAAAAAGGTTAAAAATTGCCGTGCCTTCTTTTATAACACTTTACTGAATGCAGATCAAAGGGCAGTAACAACACAGATCGCAGTAACGTTTGTTTCTCCGACAGTCGGAGTCCGACTGAACTTAAAAACAACAAAATTCAGGAGGTTAAACTTTTAAATGCAAATTTGGCTGCAGCATCTAACAAATAAGAAACAAGTCCCCATTTTGTTTAGTTGTTTAAAATCAAGCATAAAAAATTACATGTACCGGGCGCGGGGCACTATCATTTCACTTTCACTTTCACACACACGAATGACGGTGATTTATAGCTCGGTCACGTCCTTGTTACCCACAAGGAAAACCAGCATGTTAACCATATACGGTTTGAGAGAGGATCTGAGAGGGGTGGCAACATTTCCAGCAACACTGAAAACCCTCTCGGATGGTGCGCTCGTTGCACTAACGCACACGTACTTGCGTGCAACTCTGGCGAGCAAAGGGAATCTCTCCCGGTTGTTGCTCCACCGTGTCAGGGGGGTTTCTTTAGGGTGGATGCATTCCTCCTGCAGGTAGCGAGTGAGCTCCAGCTCGGCTCAAACTCTCTTCGGGACGGTTGCAGAAGCAGTGCTTGTCCGGGACTTCAGCAGGTCTCCGAGCGTTTATTTATTTATTTGCCGCTGGTGGCAGCTCTGTCTCGGCCAAGGACTCTGGCTGCGCAGCAGCTGACGTACTGAAAACCAAAGCGCTCCCAAAGGAGTGAAGTAACGTTTCGTTTTGATACCAGTGCAGCCATCCTTCTCAACATGCATCATTGAGTTGAACCAAGTTCAGTAATCGCGGTGGCCCATGATGCAGCACGGTGGGCTTCTTCATATTGCGATATTTCATTTTTGCGGTTACCGCGACAGCCCTACTGTGTGCCTTCAGCCGTGCCAGTGCCTTCTGGGATGTGACCATGCCAAACTTCACTCCGTCAGATTGGATAGCTCATTTCAGAATGTCAGAAGAGACCTTTTCATATCTTTGTTCCAAGCTCCGTCCAGCCATGCAGAAGAGGAACACCAACTTCAGAGCCTACGTGCCACTCAGGAAAAGAGTTGCAACAGCAATGTGGCAGCTTGCAACCAACAGTGATTACAGGAGCATCGGGCTTCTTTTTGGTGTCAGCACGACCTCTGTGTGCCGCTGTGTGCAGGACTTCTGTAAGGCTGTCTGTAAAGTCTTGCTTGCCGAGGTTATTGCTTTTCCAACTCTGCAAAAGCTACAGGAAATGCTGACTATTTTGAGACCAGGTGGGGGGTTCCTCAGTGTGTGGGTGCCATCGATGGTTCCCATATCCCAATAATGGCACCACAGGGATTCCACACAGACTACTTCAATAGGAAAGGCTGGCATTCCATAATCCTCCAGGGCATTGTGGATGGCAGAGGCATGTTCTGGAATGTTAATGCAGGTCAGCCAGGTAGCTTACATGATGCCCGTGTGCTGCGACTGTCCACATTTTGGGACTTGGTTGCTCATGGACAACTGCACCCAACTAGTACCAAGAACACTGAGGGAGTAAATGTAGGCTTTTATGTGCTCGGGGACTCTGCCTATCCTCTACAGAACTGGCTCCTAAAACCATTTTCAGACAACGGTCGTCTCACTGCTGAACAACAGATGTACAACAGGAAAACGTCCAGAGCCAGAGTTGTGGTCGAAAATGCATTTGGGAGGCTAAAGGGTAGGTGGCAATGTCTTCTGAAGAGAAACGACAGTGATGTAGAGCTTCTTAAACACATGGTGCTGACCTGTTGTGTGCTTCACAATATCTGTGAGAGCCATGGGGAGGAATATACAGAATGTGACACACCTGCTGATGAACCAGTGGTTGCAAATATGCAGGAAGTTGCAGAGGAGGGCAGTGATGTGCGTGAGCACCACCTCTCCCCTGCCACGTGGACCTCAAGGGATAAACCATCAATCCTGCTCAATGGTACACTTTCCTCGCAGGGTCACCCATAAAGAAAGTGGGAGGGTTAACAAAGAACGGCTAATTTATCACAAACCTTTACTTCAACAGGATTCCACTCTCATTTCATGTCTTCTGTTCCAGTGTTTAAGAAAGCTCCGGTCCAGGACCTGAAGTGTCCTCGTGGTCTACAGGAGTCAGACTTCATGGACCTCCTGAGGTCCTCCTTCCCTCAGCTGGCTAACGGAGAACCTTTTGACCTCTTCAAAACCGATCGCAGAAGGAAGCTGCTGCCTCTGAGAGTGAAAGCTCTGACTCCAGAGGAGATCCACGAGACCGTTAACTGGCCTAGTAGATGTGGACAATTACTGACCCTCTACCTACGACTGAAGGTTGGTCTGAATTTGACTTGTTTCCCTTGTTTTACTGTTAGATTCGCGTAGAACAGGGTCAGAACTTTCTGGGTTTGCAGTAGCGCGGGGCAACAGCTGTGTCGGTACCTCAACGGCCCTCTATGCTTTTAAATAGCATGTATGATCCTTTATGTATGATCAGTGTTTCCCCTTTTTCCAGCAGTGGTGCGCACACAGGGGGAGGAAGGGTGGGTGTAGCCGTTTTGTTACCGTGAGTGGGGGGGGGGGGGGGGGGAATAAAACCAATAAACGTTTTTTTCCCCCACAGTAAAAGTTTAGTCTAGTGTTTCAAGCACTCATGTTGAATACCCGTAACTGTGCTCATAGCCGTCATCCAGAGCTGTAGCTCCTCGATTTAAGCTAACAAAATAAAGCCTAGGGCATTTAGACATTACTACTGTAGATTATCTAACACACCTCTGTGCAGATGAACACAGAATAAACATCCCAAAGCTAACGGTGTTTAGCACAAAACGTCCAGATGCATTTGAAATGGCTAGCTAGCTAGCTGTGAGACGACAGACCGCGGAACCGGTTCTCCCTGGCTCCCCGTCCCCACGCAGCTCACCGCTCCACCAGGGGATGGGTTCAAATGCGGAGAAATAATTTCACTAGTGTGTGGACGCTAATGGGACTTCACCTTTAAGTAAAAATGAGTCAGACGGCCGTGCCTGGGGAGGGCTTAGATGATTTAAAGGGGGAGTCGAGGCATGGGCGGAGACTTGTTTCATCCACACCTCCTGTTAGCAAAACACTTCTGAAAGAGGCGTTGCCTGGCGGACCGAGAGAGCGGCACTGAGGCGGTGATACGCCGCATCCCCCCCCCCCCCCCGCGTGCGCTGTTGGGAGTTGGTTAAAAAAGGAGTTGTTAACGGCGAGCGGTTCAGAGCGCCAACGTGTCATATCTGCAGGTGAGCGGTTGAGTCAGGCGGAGGTGCGGCTGCCTCACCTGGAGACCAGTGCGGCGCAGCCACGTAGTCGTTTGCTGACAACGTTTTTCAGCCACAGCTGATTCTGCATGGATGTGGAGCGGAGTTTTTACCTGAAGATGGAGATAGAATCACGGGTTTGGGCTGAAATAACACATTTAAAGCAAGTTGCACTAAACTGCCACACTGATGATTACACGCCTGCAGCACCTTTAGACACTCACCTATACAGGTTATCGGCAAAAACCAGTTAATTTAGGCGTTACTGGCTCTTTGCATACGGACGTTTAACAACCAGTATGTGTATAGAAATAAAAATGTTCTGCACGTTCTGGTGCAACGCCCTGGTCCTGTAGAACGACCCCTGGCATTTTAACTGGGACTGCCTCTGTGTTCATGTAAAACCACATATTACTTTCCCAACCAGTTGCAGTCCCAACGAACACGAGAAAAGATCCACAGTTCAGTTCTGTACCATTCCTACACATGACCTCTTGACCTTTAGGGCTACTACATGCCCTCTGGTGGCAGAACAACGAACTGCAGTGCAGAGCAGGCTGCCTGGGTGTTTTTTCTGGGTCGCCGGAGTCATTTGTTTTTCTCACAAACACCGCCAAAACGCCAAACCTCGACAAATTTTACACGCTTGCTTTGGGTCACCATAAGTCGGCAGCGGTTTGTGCCATCCAAAAAAATTCGTTTTTTATAAGAGAGGCTGCGCTTTGAAGTGGATACAGGGTTATTACGGTAAATCCTGTCCCGCTGCTGTTATAGAGAGCGAGAGAATCCGTCTCTCTGTCCCACACTCACCAACGGGGCTGAGCGGCAGGCATAAAGAGACAACCACAGCCGTTATTAATATCGACTGGAAAAAGAGCAAAGGTGCAGCTCTGTCAGCTAAAGACTTTGGCTTGGCTCCCCTAACCCCACACAGACACACCCCACCCTCGCCTGCTGTAGAACAAGGTGTAAACCCTGGAGGTCTACAAGCGTGGACTCCACAGATCCTGGGTCAGTCAGCACTAGAAAAAATACATCTTCAACAATTAAGTGATCGTGTTTTTTGAAATCACAATTTTGCTCAGCTCTAGGATGCAGCCGTTCAGTTTGGACGCAGTCCCAAATAATAACAAAACAGGGAATGTTTCCCCAACAGCTTCAGGAGAAGTGTGAGCTCTAATGGATAAAGAATAACCTGAATGTTTCACACCTGGATTCTATTTTCTCTCTAATTTCCTTTCAGAACGGTGAGCAAAACAATCTCAACAAGGAAGGAGAACTTTGTGATTTTCCAGCAATGGTTGAGCCTCCATCTGCTGAACCAGTGCACCTACAGAACAACGAGGCTGAGATCCATCAAAGGTTAGTTAATTATACACATCTGTACAAAATGTTTGTAAACATCTTTTTATCACAGCATTTTAGAATGGAGCAAAGGGGATTAAATAGGATGAAAGTATTAGCCTGGCCGGCCGTGCCAGTGCTTCCTTAGCAGGACCGTGCGGGGACCTTAGACGGGGCGGGTGCTCAAAGTAAAAAAAAAAAAGGGGGCACTTATAGAGCAATCCAACAAGTTAGAAAATTCTAATGACAACATAATAAAAATATATAAATTAGTGTCATTAGTGTTAATGTTAGTTCATAAATAACAGTTTTAGTTTTTAAAGCTGACTTATATCTAGAGATGTTACAACCACATTTCTGCCCCTGATCTGAGTCCAAGTTGTTTGATTTTTGATTATCTTCCAATAGGGCTGGGCGATATGATGATTTTAGACCATTTTACGATCTACACATCTGACGGTCTGTCATTTTTGAGACGGTTCACAGCTCTGCTGTTGAATTTCTGCCTCTGAATGAAAATGGAACTTACCTCAGGCGAATGACACGCCTTTGTTTGACCCTCAACCAATCAGAGTGAGTCATAGTAATATATTAGTGCCCCGCTTGTTTTCACCTGTGTGTGAACAAACACGGCTTCGGCCGCAGCTGAGAGCGACAACGAGGTTTTCGTTCCGAAGAGGAACGCCTTTTCCATAGTACCGACCGAGCGCCGATTCACGTCATTTCAAACGGTGCCTCGTTTCGGTACCCGTCCTTCATAACGAGAACTTGCCTAGACAGCTGCGCATGCGCAAGAGCGTTATGTCGTCGGTCGCTGAGAGCGAGTTGTAAACAGAGCAGCATGGTAGAAAGAACACACGCTAAAGCTTGGGTCCACTTCACTAAATGTGATGGGTGACTGGGTGGTGATGAAACCAGCAACAACGATCTAAGTGAGACATCCTCATCTTAATCTGCTCCGGTAGGTAAATAAAATGTTTAAGATAACGTTAGCTTGATATGTTAGCTTCCGTTTCGCTAATGGTGCGTTCGCTTTCTCCTCGGAACTTCTAGAACTTTCCGACTGGAAGAACATGAACGCGCTCTAAAGTTTGGCTTCACTTTACTAAATGCGACGGGTGATTGGGTGAAGATGAAACCAGCGACAACGATCTAAGTGTGAGGCATCATCGTTTTAAACTGCTCCAGCAGCTAAATAAATGGTTAAAGATAACGTTAGCTTAATATGTTAGCTTCCATTGCCACCATTGTTATCAGCTAATGGTGCGTTCGCTTTCTCCTCGGAAATTCTAACTTCCCAGTAAGAAAAATCAAATGAAAAAGGACGGCAAAAGGAATGAAGATACACAGTAAATTTAGTTCACAGTAAAGATGTTTGCTTCAGTTTAATTATCAGCTTATAAAACTACAAGGACGATGTTAAAATACAAACAGTTGTATGTTATTTATCGTGATATTTATCAAATATGGTTATATATTGAGAAAAATATATATTTAATTATAAAAGAGAATTAAAATAATAAACACTCAAAAATATCGAAAATTGGTACCGTTAAGTACCGGTATCGATTCGAAGGGACCGGGAATTAGTACCGGATCGATTCAAATGTCAAAGGTACCCATCCCTTTCCATTATATGGAACTGGTTTGGTTTTTCACCAGATGACAAAGAGCAGCGAAACGTCATTTGCAAACTTTGCAAGCAGAGCGTCAAGGCAAGTGATGGCAACACCACAAACTTGTTTAATCACTTGAAAAGAAGGCATCCCAAACAATACAATGAGAGCCAGCTGGCAGCTAAAGCTAAAAAGCCTGCGGCTGCAGCGGCTAGTGCTTCTTCCAGGCAGCAAACGCCAACAGAAACACTCACAAAACTCACTCCCTACGACAGAGACAGCAGACGACGGAACAGCGTGACAGATGCAGTGACGTACCACTTGGTTAAAGATTTGTGTCCCGTGCGAACAGTAGGAGTGGGATTTAAGAACATGATAAAAACATTGGATTCGCGCTACGAGTTTTCCAGCTGCAAGTATTTTTCGAACACCGCCATTCCACGCATGTACGCTGAATGCAAAGGGGGAGTTGCAGAAAATATTCCGAATGCGCAGTTTTTTGCTACCACAAGCGATCTCTGGTCCAGCCGCACATCAGAGCCGTATTTGAGCTTAACTATCCACTACATGAGCAACTGGGAGCTACATAGTATTTTGAACAAGTTAATGTTTGCACAATACGTTTGCAATTGACATGTTTGCACTTTAAATATGTTTACGATTTTAATTTATGTTACGTTACTTGAAACACGAGAAAAACTGATTTTTGTAATTGTTTTTCTCAGGGCTTTTATCATCTCTGGTGTGAGTTTAAAATATAAGTGTGTTAGCACTGTGCTGATTATCCCTAATATGAATAAATGCTTGTTTATTCAATGTTTCTCTTCTTTAATACGCAATTGAAGTTATGCTATTCATGGATAAAAAATCGTGATAAAATCGAAATCGTGATAAAATATTTGAAAAATTGTGATATTCTATTTTTGCCATATCGCCCAGCCCTACCTTCCAATACTGAGTCCTGTTCTGATACCAGGTGGTGATGCAACGCATTATAAAAGAAGAAATAAGTCGTCCTTCTGTCTGTATTTGTTATTTTAGCCTGAAAAGGTGCCTTCGCACTTAAGACAAAAGGGGCAGGTGCTCAAGAACCCCCCCCCCCCCTCGCCCGCACGTGCCTGTTCCTTATGGGTAGCGCTCCCATTCCAATAACCCCACCCCCTGAGAATTCTGGCCGAGCCAATCAGAGGAGGGAGAAGCACTGGAGGAGTCAACAGTAAGAGAAAAACTGTCAGATAGGGACGTTCTGGTCCCATTTTTTAGCTCCAGATCCGAGTCCGAGTCATTTGATTAGGAGTATCTGCTGATACCAAGTCCTGATCCGATACTTGATAAATGACCTGCACTTGTACAGCGCCTCTCAGAGTAAAGACTCCAAAGCACTTGACACTACAGTGTATCATTCATCCATTCACACACACAGTCACACACTGATGGTGATGAGCTACGATGTAGCCACAGCTGCCCTGGGGCGCACTGACAGAGGCGAGGCTGCCAAGCACAGGTGCCACCAGTCCCTCCGACCACCACCAGCTGGCAAGGTGGGGTTAAGTGTCTTGCCCAAGGACACAACAGCAGAATTCTCTGTCCGGGCCTGGGATCGAACCTGCAACCTTCCGATTACTGGACAACCCGCTCAACCTGTTGAGCTACTGCAGCCCCTTCAGCAAAGCATTGAAATACGATGCAGAAAGGAAAACGCATCAACATTTTTATTTATTTTTTTTTTATTTTTCAATTATTTTGGTATTTCTTTCTCTCTGTATTTATGTCATTTTCTTAGTTTATCTGCAGAAAAGTTTAGCTTATCTGTCATGTTTGGGTTGATTTTCCGGACCCAGGACATACACAACCGACCACAGAAGCCAAGGCAAGTAAAAAGCAATATTTTATTCAAACGTTTAACTCAGGGGTAGGGAACCCTGGTCCTGGCGAGCCGTTATCCAGGTTACACCTACCCCTGGTTTAACTAAAGGAGGTGAGGAGTCAAGGGACGTCTGGCTTGTGACAGTGTCTGTAAGCAGAGACCAGTTAGTGACTGGGAGAGCTGATGAATGGTAAGGAGAGAGCATGGTAGAGCAGAGAGCTTACAGTTCAGGAGTAGGTAACACGCTCATGGGAGGAGAGGTCAGGTCTGAGGTGGTGGCCAGGCTCGAGGTAGTTCCAGAGGGGCAATGATCGCAGGAGGGGAGATCTGGGTTCAGGTGAACAGTGGAGAACAGGTCCGTCAGGAGGGACTGGGTGAGATGTGGACTTGAGATGCGCCCCAGAAAGTTTTTGCTGGAGAGTTGGTGGTGTCATGAGTACCTGGAAGCCGGAGCATGGTTATAACTAGAGAATAACAAGAAGTTAGGCTTGAGAGGTTTTCAGGCGAGAGATCCCCAAGGTGAGTAATCATCTGGCAAGGTGCTGTTGTCTCCCTGCTTCTTATGTAGCCAGACCGGTTGGTGAAAGATCAACAGCAGCTTAGCCTGCTCCTCGGCGCCACCCACCTGTGATTAAGCACTCTGAGGTTATTAGATTAGGAGGCCGCTCACCTCAGACCATGACATCACTTAGTTATTAATGTAATGTAGTAGTTATTGTATGTATTTGGGTGCTTTTAAAGCTTAATATACTACCCTACACTTTAACCAATGTGATGTGAGTTTCCATTTAAACATGGGAATCCAGTCTGATAGGTCTTTGAATGTTTTAACCAGAAGATTTAAAATTCATTGTTTATTCAGGGATTGTAGGATACTTCATATTAATTCAAGAAGAGAGTCAAGTTTAGAAAAAGTAAGAATTTATTTTCCAAACAATTAAAAACACGACAAGTTAACTAAAAGCCCCTTCAGACAGGCCATGAAAAACGGAAATGTTCCGGACTCTGTCCGTAAGACCTTTGTGTCTGAATACAAACATCCGGATAACGTGTTCCGGAATTTATCCGGACGAAGCCCCTAGTAACAGGTCCAGACTTGTTACGGACAGGGTGGCTGCTTCAGACTGGTCAGGTAGAGTTCCGGACAAGGGGGAGGGGGAGGAGGAGGGGACCGGGGGACGCTGTGCGCACCTAGATAGCCCGCTGCTGTAGCATGCGGCGAACCACGGCAGCTCGCCTCCTACGGTACCGCCTAGACGCGCGACGGAGCCCTTCACACCGCTTCAGTGATTCCTTTAACCATTGAGCTTCATCATCCAGGTCTCTTATGCGTCTTCGTGTGCGCAGAATTATGCTTAAGCGCCTCGTGATTTTTATCTTGAGAGGCGCTATAGAAATGATATTTTCTTTTTCTTCTTCTTAACATGAGTCCGATTCCCCCCCACCCCCACCCCCCGCCGCCGTCAGACATCTGGAACTTTTCCCTGCTGTGTGAACGCAGCCGAAAGGACAAGTTCCGGTAGAAAAGTGGTGTG